TTCACTTGGTTACTTAAGTCTTATATCACTGAAATTTATATATATCACTGAAATTTTTTTTACCCTAAAACAATATCATTCTGATATTGGTTTATACTAAATATATTGAGTATAATCATTATTTATACTAAATAATGATTACATTCAATCTATACATTTTTTAGTGAACTCATGGTAGTTAGCTTATTTAATGTAATGTCATCAGTTATGTTTTGTAATTTATTTTGTATGGAATTATTGTAATTATCTTTTTTTTTCAACAATTACTAAATTTTAAGAAAAAAAAGTTTTGCTTTTAGTCAATTAAGATATTATAAACATATAAAGTAAAGCGATTTTTAAATAGTTGATACCAAATAAAAGTATAGAATTTTTTTCAATATTATGAAATATATTACATAAAGTAGGCAATAAAGTGTAAAAGTTGTTTTATAAAAATTTCTATTTCACTTATATCTTTTAAAAACATTTTAACATACTATTCAAATCAAATTTTGCAATTTTTTTGTAGCAATCAGATCCCGATGGTATGCTTTTTAACATTGGTGTACTTTTTAATCCATTAAGTAACCCTAAACTATAAAATATTTCCAATGTAATTTAAAAGTAATTTTAATTTTTAATTTTGAATTCTTTATGTTATTCTAATAAATATAGATGATAAATGTATATTATTTTTTATTTATTTTTGTTTATAAGCTTATACTTTTTTTTATAGGCTTCTTTATCTCATTTAAACATTTTGTCATTTATTTTAAAATATATACAATTGAATAACTGGTTTTTGTCTTAAACAAACAGGTGGGGAAGAATTGTTTGGTATGCCTGTAACAGAATATACTGAATTGCAAAATGTAAAGCATGATCTTGGTTTGCTTACTTGTTTTTATACTCTGCATGATTCTTTTATGGACTCATTAAATAGATATTATGAAATTCAGTGGTCTGAAGTCAATATTGAAAGAATTAGTTTAGAGCTCTTAGACTTCAATAAAAGGTAAATTGTTTGTATACACACACACACACACACACACACACACACACACACACACACACACACACACACACACACACACACACACAAACACACACACACACACACACACACATATATATATATATATATTTTTTTTATTTTTTTTCTTAAGCAAAGTAATAGCAATAAATGTGAACATATTTTAAAGAAAAACACAAAATTTTTAATCTTGACATGTTTTGGCATTAACATACTACATTTTCAAAAGATAAAATTATAATTTAAAACTCTGGATATAAATATAAAATCAAAATTTGAAGACATTACAGAGAAATATTAACAGACAAATAGAATTGTTACAAATTAATAAAAATGATGTATATATATATATATATATATATATATATATATATATATATATATATATATATATATATATATATATATATATATATATATATATTCTTCGCCAAGATAAAAAGTTCAACAATCAAAGCAGTAGACACTTTTTCAAAAATTAAACTTTGAAAAATAGTCGAATATAACTTATATTTTACTTTAAATTGATTATTATTTTTTGTTTTATTTTTAAAAAAATTTTCCGTTTGAACTTTGTCTTTAGTTTTTATTTTTCCTTTAGTTCATTTATTACCCTCTTTAATATTTGCCAGTTTTTTAATTTCATCGGATGAATGAATAATCTTTAAATAAATTTAAAAGTATTATTTAGCTACTTTGTTATTTAAAAATCTGTCCAAATCTATCCAGCAAGATGCTGTTATCCTCATAATAGATAACAGCATCTTGCTGGATAGATTTGGACATATTTTTAAATAACAAAGTAGCTAAATAATACTTTTTTTACATCAGTAATGCAAAGACTCAATGAGAATCAAACATTAATGCAAAGACTTTTTCTACTTATCTTTTTCAGTTATGTTCCGCTGAAATTAGCTCTATTATGGCACTCTAAAAACTTGTCCGCATATTTATGTAAAAAAAAAATAAAATAAATAAACATTTTTGCTCTCCGTTAATTTCACTAGGCTTCCATTAAAGTCTTACACACTTTCGCAGAATAATTTTTGTGCAAAAAACAAAGCAACTATTAAAATTGATAAAAACAGATACAATACAAATTAATAAAATGAATTATTGAAGATAAAACAATATCAATAGCAAAATAACAAATAACTTGTTTTCATATTCAACAAAATAATTTTTTTTTAATGTTTTTTAAAATTCTCAAATCTTACTTTGAATATTTTTAGAACAAAAAGATTGCCTGAAGAATCAAAGTGTTGGCCTGCTTTTATTGAATTAAATAAAACAATTGAAGAGTTTATTGAATGTTGCCCTCTTCTTGAAATGATGTCTAATCCTGCCTTAAAAGAAAGACATTGGGAGCAGATTTCTTTAGTTACAAGTTATCAATTTCCTGCAATATGTAGTGATTATTTTACACTGCGATGTTTAATGAATGCACCATTACTAAAGTTTAAAGAAGATATTGAGGTTTTTTAAACTAAATTTTTAATTTTTTTGTCTAAAAAAAAGACTTTATTAATTAATACCAAATGGGATGTCATTCTTTATAGGATATATGTATTTCGGCTGTGAAAGAAAAAGATATTGAAGCTAAGTTACAGCAAGTAATTTTTGAATGGAATACACACGAACTTTCATTTTCTTTATTCAAATCAAGAGGGGAGTTATTGCTAAAAGGTTTTGAAACTTCTGAAATCATCTCACTCATGGAAGATAGTTTGATGATTCTCGGATCTTTGCTAAGTAATAGGTACGTTTTTTGTTGTTGTTTTTAATTGTTTTTTAGTGTATATTATTTTTTTCTATTGTAAAAGTTTTCATGCTTACATAGTACACAGTTGCTTACTATTTAGTTTAATTTTCTCAACTAATTTTTAGATACAATGCTCCATTAAAATCATCAATTCAGAAATGGATTTTGGATTTGTCAAACACCATTGAAAATATTGAAAAGTGGCTTTCTGTACAAAATTTATGGGTGTATTTAGAAGCAGTTTTTGTAGGAGGAGATATTGCTAAACAATTGCCAATGGTTAAATAATTTGTTCAATTTAAATTTGTTTAATAGATTCATATTAATTTTTAAAAATACTTTTTCACTTCATCAGACTGACCACTACATTAAAGGTGGCTTTTACTAAACTTTCTAGCATAAACTTTAAAAGATTGTTTATTACTTAATCAGACTGACCACATTAAAGGTAATTTTTACTAAACTTTCAAGCATAAACTTATAGTTTTTTAAAAAAACTGTTTATTAGAAAAAGCATACCAAGTGCTTTACTACCAGGAACGTACTTGTATGGCTAAAACTGCTTGTAATATGTTGCATAATCTTTGTAATATATTGTAAACTAAAAACTTCTTTTTTGAATCTATCTTAAATATATTATTTATTGGTATTACAACAGTTGATGATAAGCAAAGACTTGATGAAATTTAACAGAAACAAAGTAGAGCAAAGATGCAGACAACCTGTTACTCATAAAATTACATGTATTCAGTGCAGTCATTTTTAATAGAGTATTAATTATCAATTTGGATTGATGCTAGGGTGCATGTATGAATTAGTTTTACATGATAAAATGAATTAATGGATTAGGTAAGATGGATTAAGTGCAGCAAAAAAAATTTATTAAGCAATTTTTAAGCACTAAAAAAAATGTTTATTTCTAAGATTCTGATCAACTGGATTAAAATAGAAGAAAATTCTAAAATTACTTTTGAATTAAAAAAAAAATGAAAGTATGACTACTATGAGCAGACAATGATTGAACAAAATAATTGTAATTGCAGCCAGGGTTTTGGAGCAGCTCCGGAGCTGGAGCCAAAGCTATCTGGAGCTGGTGGCTTTTCATGTAGCTCAGCAGGAGCTGGAGCTAAAATTTTTTCATGCTGGAACTAAAATATTTCCTGCTGGAGCTGGCTCCGGAGCCAGCTCAGAATCTCGGAAAATTATTAAAATATTTATAATTTCTAAATAAAGCATTTTTTTCATATGGTTTATAAAAAAAGAAAGTTTTTTTTTCAGAATTTATTTTTGTTCAATTATGTCATGAGGTTCTTATTGTAGAGTATAATAAGTTACTTTAAAACAATACTTCTTAACAATGTAAATTATTGTAAATGATTGGTTAAATGGTCATCTATAAAGTACATAAGCTTTTTTTTTATCTCCCCCCCCCCTGCATTTTGCTTTTCACTTTTCTTCAATCTTCCACCTCCCTATCCTTTTAAACTATCTACTTGTAACCTACCTACCCTTTTAACCTATCTGATCAACATTTTATGATATTTTTTTTAATTTAGTGTCTCCTTACTTTCATTATTGACCCCTTTCTCCCATTCGAGTGTACTTTATGTGCAATCCTTTATGTACATACTTTATGGATGATCCTTAATGAAAAAATTCTTTATCTTGATATTAACTACCTATGAAAAAACCTGTTTATTTATTTACAAGTGTTCATAATGACTGACAAAGACCTAGCACTATCTTGCAAAAAAAAAATTTTTAACTTTACTGTGAAAATATTTTTATATAATTTTGTAATATAACTTTTTTATAACTTTTGATTATAAATAAACTTTATAAGATGTAATTTTTAACAGCTTCCTGTATTAACTCTCTCTCTTCCTTTCTTTAATCTAAAGGATATTATGACAAGGAAAATTATACATCATTATCTATGTGTTAAGTCACATGATTTGTTTTAAGGTTTTTAATTAGTTAAAACATTTTTTAAAAATAGATTTAAACATGTGAGTTCCAAAAAAAATTTTTTTTTTGATATTATTGATATTATTTTTGTTTATACTATCTTTTTTATTATTTTTCTTATCTTTAAAATTTGTCATTCACTTTATTTTCATAGTTTTTTATAAAAATAGTTTCAAACTTAAACAATCCTGAGAAGCTTTTAGTATTTTTTAATTGATAAAACTACAAAACTGGTTACATAAAAGATTACAGAAAATTTAAATGAAAAGTTTAAAGGATTAAAAATGATTTAAATAAAAACTTAAAAGGATTTCATGCACCATGCAAATAAAAAAATCAAAAGTTGAAACGGCATTTGGAAAAATCTTCTGGAATATAAAATTATTGAATCTGAAACGATCCTTATGGCCCAAAGAAAATCTCCAAAATCATTTTATCACATTCACAAGATTTCAATATTAAAATATCTAAACAGATTACTTTAGGTTCTTTTGTTACCACTAGTAGTTAAACAATAAATCAAGTTAGCGCTAAAACTTTTAAAATTAGAATTATTAAAATGGTAGTGAATAACAGAATTTTGTTGAAAACAATTGCGGATAAAGAATTTCAGTTAGTTACAGGCCAATTAGGTAAAATTCTTAGATTCAGTACTGGACACAATTCTGTACTTAATTTGATTAATGAATTTGCTAAAAAGAAGAAAGCTGAAATAAAGGAAATTTTGTTAGAAAAATTTATTAATGTGAAAATAAATGCGGCGACTCGACACCAAAATAACTATTTGGAAATAAATATTCAATATTATTATACAAAAATAAATTTAAAAACTTTGGCACTGATAGATACACAAGGACAGCACAACCTTGTTGCTATTAAAGAAATGGTGGAAGACTCTATATAGATTTGGTATCACCAATGATCAAATGGTATGTGCAAGTGTAGACAATGCAGCCATTATGATTATAGCAATCACAATTTTAAACAAATATTCAGGTGATGAAATTTTTTTAGATAAAGCTTTGCATAATTAATAACAAGTAAAATTTTTACAACAGGATACAAATAAAGAAGAAAGTGAAGAAGCTTGGGAAGAAAACCTAGCCTTTATCAACCCAGAATGGTGTCAACAATTGTCTTCTGACATTAAGCTGATGCTTTGTGTTATTCACACTTTGCAGCTAGATATTTGTATGCTTTAAAAAAAAATACAATGCCCAACTTTCGGAAAAAGTCTGTCATGTTATAAAGAAACTAAGAAACTCACATACAATATTTTTAGCAAGGAAGCAAAACAAGGTTGTTTCAATTTTGGATAAAAAAGCCACATGTGACAGTTAATTGACATTACTCCAGGAGAGTTCCTAAAGGAATGGTTTTAATTGAAATTTGACCTAGAGACAAATCAAGAACTATTTGCAGAAGACATTTCAAAATCTATGCAGAAACAAGTAGAAAAACCTTTTGATAATGATATATTTCTAGCTGCAGTTTATGTTGATGCTAGATATTGAATACTATTGGAAGAAAACCAGATAATACGAGCAAAATAAGGCTTAAAAACAATGGCAGAAAAATTTATAAAAGAGATGCCAAGAATATAATAGAAAGTCAAGAAATAAGAAATACTGTTGTGCTATCTACAGTATTTCTTTCAGTTTTAAGTGAATCTAATTCCGATGGACAAGAGGATGTGATTGAAAAGGAGCTTGATAAAAAAGGAAAAATGGAGAAGTTTGACCAAAATTAATTTTGGTCACACTTCTTTTTTTTAATTTTTCTAATGAAAAATACTTATAATACAAATTTTTCGGACGACTGTAGGATAATGAAAGAAAGAAAAAAAAAGAATGTTCAAAAATAAGTTTTTGAGATAATTGAAGAATACCCAAAAAGAATACAAGAAGCATGCAGAGTTTTCACTTGTATACCTATCTCACAAGCAAGTGAAAAGAGGTTATTTTCAGCTCTTAAATTTGTATTGAGCGATCTGCGTTTTTCACTCAAACCTAATATTTTAGATCAAGATTTTTAAATAAAAACTTAATTACTATTAATATTAAAAATATTAATAGTAATTAAGTTACTGTCATAAAACATTAAAAAATATTTTTGATTTTTTTTGAAACCAATCCGTAGCGGAAGCCAAAAAATCTAATGAAGCCGGAGCCTGGAGCTGGAGCAAATTTTTAGACCTCGGCTCCAAAGCTCTGATTGCAGCTATAATAATTAACTATGATAATGAACTTGTTATAAATGTTGAGGAAGTTTTCCATAGCAACCTCAGGTTAAGACAAATGTATTACAAAGTGTTAATATATTTTAAGTATCTTTTTTTCTAAACTAGCTTATTCATTCTATTTAGGAAGCTAAAAGGTTTAATCAAATTGACAAGTCTTGGGTGAAAATAATGAATCGTGCTCATGAAATTCAAAATGTTGTATCATGTTGTGTAGGCGATGATACATTGACTCAGCTGTTACCTCATCTATTGGAGCAGTTAGAAATATGTCAAAAATCATTATGTGGGTAAGTATAACTGTATTTTTTCTATCTAAACGAGTCACTGAACTTTTTTTTCTATTTAATATAAACAAAATTTTGTTTTTATATTTATTTATTTTTTACTTTTGCTGACAGATATCTTGAAAAGAAACGTTTGATATTCCCTCGATTTTTTTTTGTGAGCGATCCAGCATTGTTAGAAATACTTGGTCAAGCAAGTGATTCACACACCATCCAATCTCATTTACTTGCAGTTTTTGATAATGTGAATAGAGTTTCATTTGATGAAAAACATTATGATAAAATATTCGAGATCTGTTCAAAAGAAGGAGAGAAAATATCTTTGCAAAATCCTGTTTTAGCTTCAGTAATATAAGTTAAAATTTTTTTTTTTAAATTTTTTTTCCATAAATTTTAAATATTAAATTACAAATGCTAAAATATGTTTGCATTGTTCTTATGGAATGTCTTTATATTTATTTCTGTAATAGGGTAATGTTGAAACTTGGCTTGGTTTCTTGCTGGCTGAATCTAAAAACTCTCTGCACCATGTTATTCGAATGGCAAAAAATTCAATTAGTGAAGTTAACTTACAACTTATAAAATTTCTGTCAAGTTATCCAGCTCAAGTAAAACCTAAACAAAATTTTATCAATTTTGAAAAATTAATTTTTTTCTTTTTGTACTCAAGTATTTAAGTGTTTCTCAAGAAGCATTAAAAACAAGTCGTTTTGATTTTTTTGTTTTGTTGTTCTGTTAATAAAAGTTATTATACATTTCTTTAAAGGTGAGCTTACTTGGTTTACAAATGCTCTGGACAATCAAATCAGAATTAGCTTTATCAAAGTCAAAGATTGATAGGAAGGTATCATTTATAAAAATTGTTATAATAAATTATTTGGATAGGAAGGTATTAATAATACTTCAGTATTAAAATTTCATTTTTGTTGAAGGTTTGTTTACCAACCACTTGTATGAAGCCTTATCTCTGTTTATTGTTTCTTTTGTATGAAGGTTTGTTTACCACCCCGATGTATAAAGCCTTATCTCTGTTCATTGTTTTTATTGTCATTATATCTATTATAAAAAAGCAAACCACATATTATTTGCTATAACCAGTAAACCCTCTAAGATTCAAAAAATTCCTAATCACTAGTAAAAGACAGCCAACATCCACTTGTAGCAGTTATCTTTAGATGATCATTTGTAATATATTTACTGATGTGTTTCTACTTTTTTTTTGTTCATTTCTTGTCACTGTAGAAAGATTCATGTACACTTTTATAAATGAAAACAGTTTCAAGGTAGCTAACAAAGGTTATTGTGCTGGTGCTTAAACTAAATTGTCTTAATATCTTTGTTTTGATGGCTATCAAGGTCGTTTGTCAGTCATTTTTGGTTCACTTTTATGATCATTTTTAATAAAAATAATGAGATGCATGTTGTCTTGAATATTAGAAATCTATAGTTTTTCTTCCATCATTTGATAAAGATAAAACACAATATTTTCTTATAACTTGTGAATGATTGTATTATGTTGGATCAGGTTGGATATAAACAAGTTAAGTGAATTATGAAATTAATATATAAGAAAATATAGAAGCTTTCACTGCAACATTCACAACAACAACTTGCAAATTTTCATTTTAATGTTAAAAGTTTTTAGTTTAATATTGTGTTTCTTAATTACACATTTCAATTTTTAATTACATGAATTTTTTATTTTTTTTTTATGGCTAGACAACTTATTTTATTATCTCCTAATGAGGGTATAGCTCTAAAACTCAGTTTTATGGTTCTGAGGCTGGCTGGTTGTTAGATTTCCTAAACTCTGCGGTAACTCTCAGAGGCTGATTTCATCAACAGCTGTAAAGTATCCGAGTACTAACAGTGCTATGTTGGGCATGGTAGGTTGAGGCCACATTTTGAACACTTTTGTTATGGCTTATCTGTGCTTTGAGTCAAGTTCTTTAACAAATTTAAAAAATGGCCAAAAACTATAAAATACAAAAAACCATCAACATCACCAACATCTCTAAATCTATCATTCACTAATATTTGTGGTCTTTGAATTAACTTTTCTTCTGTTAAGTTTTATCTCTTATAAAGTTCACTAGACCTACTTACTCTTTGTGAGACTAATTTGAGTTTGGCTATCTCATCTTGTGATCTTAGTGTTGATGGTTATCTTCTTTTAATTTGTAAAAACTCCAATAGTCACATGTTTGGCCTGGGCACCTACATTCATAAGAATTCATCCATTTCACCATTCTTTTATGTGCTTTCATATAGCACCACATCACTTTATTGTTTTTCTCTTTATTCTATATTGCTCTCCTTCATCTCAAGACTGCAGACTCTTTTGACGTTATTTCTGATTAAATTGACCAAGCTCTTTCTCTTTATCCTTCAGCCAATATTGTTGTTATTGGTAACTTTAGTGCTCATTACACTGAATGGCTTGATTCTAGTGTCAATGGTTTTGCAGGTGTTAAGGTCCACAACTTTTGTCTTTCTCAAGCTTGTGGTCCGGACAACATAACTGTTATAATCTTGCAGAAGTGTTCTCTGAGCTGTTGTCTGTAACTTCAAAAGTATTTAGCAAGTGCTTATCAAATGTTTTCCTGCCTGCTGGAAAGTTGCATCTGTTATCCCTGTTTTCAAAAATTCTGGAGAGCGATCTGACTTGTTTAACTACCATCCCTTTTTTAGAAACCTAGACAAATAGTCTAACTACCAGCCCATAGTCTTCTTACTATCATAAGCAAGATTTTTGAGTCTTTAATTAACAAACACTTAATCTCTCATTTTGAAGAGGTTAAGGTTATCGCTCTTGATATTTCTAAAGCTTTTGATAAAGTTTGGCATGCTGGTATTCTTCATAATTTCCATCTCCATTCTCCATCTTCTTACAATGTATCAGGTAACATCTTCAAGATTATTGATTCTTCCTTACCAATCTTAGTATTATAGTTATCCTCGATTGACAGCACTCTTTTCATATCCTGTCTTCTCAGGGGTTCAATAATTTACATTATTGATCTTACAGATATTCTCACATCTAAGGTGGCGTTGTTTGCTGATGATACTACCATTTGTTCTTGTCTTGATAAGAAGCCAACACTCTCTGATTGCTTGGAGGGGGCATTTGAGCATGAAAAGGATCTCACTTCTGCTACAGTTTGGAGCTCACATTGTCTGGTGAACATCGATAAAACTCAATTTTTTTCCCCTAATTGTTATTGCAATAATCAAGATCTTTCTATATTTATGAACGGTAATGTACTCGATGAGTTATCTACCCTTCATTTTCTAGGATTAAATTGTAATTCCGATCTTTATTGGAAACCATATAATAAACCAATTTCAAAATTAGCATCTGCTGAGGTTGCATCTCTTCATTGTGCTCACCACTATTTTACACTGGATTCTATTCTTTATCTCTATAAATCTCAAATCCATCCTTGTATGGAATACTGTTATCATATCTGGGACTGATCATCCGATGATGCCCTTTCTCTTTTAGATGAGGTGCAAAAATGCATTGTAAACATAGTTGGACCTGCTCTTGCAGCCAACCTCCAACATTATCACATTGTCATAATGTTGCTTCTCTCTCTCTTTTCTTTAAATTCTATAATAAGCACTGCTCTGCCTTAGCACAAGAGGTCTTAGCTTTTTAGAGCAGCGTTTTTTGTGTTTAAATCTACTAAAATTCATTTTCATGTTATTTGTCATGTATTCAAGTCTCATCTTTTTACTGTTACAGTTCCTAAGTGCTTTAAAAATTCTTATTTGTTTAGTTTCTTTCCTCAAACATTACTCCTTTGGAATTTGCTTCTTTCATCTTGTTTTTCTAATTCATATAATTTGCAATCTCTTACGTCTGTTAATCATTATCTCTATTAATTTTTTCTATAAAACATATATAGCTCTTTAAACTCTATAAAATATATACAGCTCTATAAACTCTATAAAATATATACAGCTCTATAAACTCTATAAAATATATACAGCTTTATAAACTCTATAAAATATATATAGCTCTATAAACTCTATAAAATATATATAGCTCTATAAATTCTATAAAATGTATATAGCTCTATAAACTATAAAATATATATAGCTCTATAAATTTCATCTTTTCTTTACCAATAACTTCTAACTCTAATAGTGGTTGCTTGTAGCCTTGATGTAAGTAAAAATATTGAAAAAGAAAAAAAAAAAAAAATTTTAATTTGTTAATTCAAATTTTTTTTTTAATTTGAATATAGACATTGCAACCACTTAACACTTTTATGTTTTTAATCATATTATGAAAAAGTGTACATATAAGAAAAGTTTTTTTTAATTTAACTAATATTGGAAACTAATAAGTACTTTGCAATTTAGATTATGGCACAGACTGATGAATGCTTTTTAATTTAGATTATGGCACAAACTAATGAATACTTTTTAGCTGTACTCAATGAACTTATTGGTGTGACAACAAAAGACATAACTCAAATGGAAAGAATAAAATTTGAGACACTTGTTACAATTCATGTACATCAGCGAGACATCTTTGATGATTTAGTAAATTAGATTTCATTATTTTATCTTAATTTTATCCACTATCAGATGTGTTAAAAAGTATATAAATACAATTTTTTTTTTTTTTTTATAGGTCAATCTTCGTATAAAGTCTATATCAGACTTTGAATGGTTGAAACAGTCTCGGTTTTATTTTCATGAAGAATCAGACAAGTGCCTTGTTTCCATCACTAATGTTACTTTTGTTTATCAAAATGAATTTTTAGGTTGCACTGATCGTCTTGTCATTACCCCACTTACAGACAGGTAGCTCTTATTTTTGTTATTTTGAATTAGGATTTCTTATTTCTGGTAAATTTAGCATCCCGGGATTCTGGTGTGTAACTTATTTATCCTGTAATTTCCCGGCATCATTTTTAATATAATAACAAGCGGTTTCTGACACAAATTTATCTTAGCACGCTAATCTATATTACTATTTAAAATTAAATATTGTTTCAAAAAACATAAGCAATCAATTGATTTGTCACTTAATTGTGAACAAATTTTTACCATAAATAGACCCGTGACAAAAAAAACTCTTTCTGATTCAATTGATGTTGGCTTGATGGTCATTAATGTTGGCTTGATGGTCATTAATGTTGGCTTGATGGTCATTAATGTTGAATTTATTCTAAACTTTTGATACGCTTTCCAGTTTCCAACCTCAAAAAGTTTTTTTTTGTGAGGTTTTTCAAATTGCTAATGTTTTTTAGAGCTACTTTTTCTACTAGTTTGACATTACAAATAGTCACATCCAATTTTTGTTCAAGTGTCAAAATACTTTTGCCTAATAAATTTTGAGCAACAGGTTAAGATATTGACGGGTCAGAAACCATGCTTTTATTATTACGATTCACTTCAACTACTTCATTATTTGATGAACTAGTTCTAGCATCCTTTATGTACAACCTGGTATAAATTTTTTTTGCTGTTGCTTTTAATGCATGATTGGACAGTAAAAGTAGTTTTTAGTTGATATTTGATTCTTGATTATAACTAATTGGGTTGTTTAAGAATTTTAGTAATCCAATTAAATTGGCATTTCTGCGTTCTTCAATTCTCTGCTGCACAGATTAAAGCAGTTTATTAACTATAAAAAAATTTTTCACCGCTAAATCGTCTAAGATGAATATCATTCTTCTGCGTCAAGTAGAGTAGCATCACTTCTACCAAGTCTTTGTATTTAAACTTTTATCGGTTGCAGAGAAATGGTTATGTCGTTTATAATCGCATATTCATCTTCTGAGATATTTAGAACTTCTTTTAAATCGATCATTGCTTTTCATATATATGTTTTTACTTTCTAGCATTGTAACAAGACTATTCCACCTCGTTTTGACATCTAATATCAGTAAAGCTCTTTATGAAATATAGATTTTACATACATTTGTAAAACTTCATTTTTAAGTGGTGATTTGCGCAACATTCGAACCACTTTTCGAACCTTCTGAATTGTTAAGGCTATATTTACGCTATTTTGTAAATCAACAATAAATGTAACGCCTGTTGAGCCGTATGACTCATGATTGCAGTCTAATACATTATCAAACTCATCGCAATCACTCAAATTTTCATCGGAATCTTGAAACTGCAATTCAAATTCAATATATTTTGCTGAAGAGTCTGACTTTTTAAAAAACATCACATACTACCAAATGAAGTCCGTGTGCATAACACAGCTGATGGTCAATACCACTTAGCCGTCCAAATTTTTTTATTACGGATGCTCCGTCAGTGACACTAGCTATGATGTGCTATTTAAATGATAAACTTAAATCTGACAGTTTAAATTTTAACTAGATCAATAATTTTTTCCCGCTTTTGCCAGGAAATCCCGCTGCCACTTTTATCCCCGGGATCCTGCGAATCCATTTGAGAAACCCTATTTTGAACATTTATTATATTTTTACATTATCTATAATTAAATCATTTAACTTGAAGTATTTCTTGTATTTGAAGTATTTTAAATACAAAACAAAAGGAATTGTTAAACTGTTTTAAAATTTTTTTTAGAATTTTAATAAAGTTAAAACTTTGAATATTATTCAACTTGTTTTCTATTTAGTTTGTTCACTTAGTTAATCAACTTACAGTCTTTAATTTCATTTACTTTTTTTAAATTGGTTCACTTTAAAACAAATTTTAAACTTTCTTGAAATTTGACAAATAAAAAGTTTTGTAATTGAAAGTTAATTGTTATTTAAAAGCTATTATGAGTTATAGTTATTTATTTAAAGTTTATTATTAAATATAACTGATTGTTATGTATTTAAAAGTTATTGTTATTTATAATTATTATCTGTTAATTTTAAATTTTTTTAATTAGGTTATAATTTTTATATTAGGTGTTACATTACTCTAGCTCAAGCTCTCCACATGTCAATGGGTGGTGCACCTGCAGGACCAGCAGGAACTGGAAAAACAGAAACTGTCAAAGTAATAATTTGAGTGTATATATACATATATATATACACGTATATATATATATATATATATATATATATATATATATATATATATATATGTGTGTGTGTATATATATATATATATAGATAAATGTATATATATATATATATATATATATATATATATATATATATATATATATATATATATATATATATATATATATATATATATATATATATATATATGTATGTATATTTAAAGATAAATGTAATGTAGTGCATCTTGGAACATGCACATGCGTTTTAGTATGATTTTTTGAACTTGAAATAATTTCAATAACTTTTAGAAAATTTAAGTTATAGGAATGCCTATTTGTATATTATATTATGCGTATAAAATGAGTATTTCCTTGGTAATGTAGGAATTGGTTTGTAAGATTTCAAGAAGAATTTCTTAGCTGAAGCTCTTAGAAAGTTTAACTTTAATGAAGTCTTAGTTAGTTTTGAAATTGTTGCTTTTGAAATTGTTAGTATTGAAATATTTAAATGTGAAGTATTTCCAAGCAAAAAATACTTTTCAATTTGTTTTCTTTACTTTTTTGCTCAGTTAAAAATCTGCATGTAAAGTTCATACTTCTAATCGATTAGTTATGTTTATTTACTATATAATTCAATCTCAATATATTAAAACAAATTTTAGTATACAATTACAAAATTGATATTTTTTTATTAAGATACCTTTAGGAGTTAGTTTTATCCTAGTTTTTTAACTACTTAAAACCCTTGCTCTCCTGGGTTATTACACTAACTAATGCATATGTTTTATGATCCAAATATGCCCCAAGTTTTTTTTTTTTTCACTAATCAAAGTCAGTTCTCATTCTTGACTATTAGTTTTGTTAAAACTAATTTCAAAACAATGTTTTTTTAACTAATCGCAAACTTGCAATATATCTAATTATAGTTGTTACTTTTATTTTATTGAGATTATTATTATTGTTATGATTGTTATATGTCTTAAGAATAATCAAAAATAATCTCTGCTTATCATTTGGACTGTTGAGAAAGCATTACCTTATGCATTTTGTTTTTTCTGTTAGTTTGCAATTATAAAAACTTTTTTTGCAATATTTTTCAAATGAATATATTTTTATGTTAATTTTTTCATTTTACTTTCACAATGGTTATCTTTTAATATTACAGCTAATGTTTTTTTTTTTTTTAATTCTGATTTACTCCCAACAAGGCTACAAGCAACCACTGTTAAGTTAGGAGTTGTAAAATTATAGGTTGTATGAGTCAGGAAAACATAAAGATCAGAGAGAGTTCCAAGCGGTTAAAGTGCGAAGAAAAAAACTAGACGAACAAAAGTTTTTAGAGAATGCAGGGACAGATACAGTAAACAAATGAGACTTTGTTGAATGACCAGTTAAGTAAGAATGAGTTTTAGTTGATGAAAATAGAGATAAAAGCTCTTTTGAGCAGCGTTCATGATAGTATTTGTAGAAAAGAGAAAGAGCTTAGCAGATAAAACATAGAAAAGCTAGTAGCATAACAGAGTGAAGAAAAGAGAAAGAATTTAGCAAGCTTAGCAGATAGAGCAGGTCCAACTACATTTACAATCCAATTTTGGATTTTGTCTAGAAGAGAAAGAGCATCATTAGAAGAACCATCCCAAGTATAACAACAGTATTCCATACAGGGATGGATAAAAGATTTGTAGAGGTAGAGAATGGAATCAGGAGTAAGAAAATGCTAACTAAGATAAAGAAATATTTTACTAAAGATCAAAAGATATTATGTTAGACAGTTTTTTTATTTGACACTATATTTTTATATTTTTTTCATACCAATGTTTGCTATGAAAGTTGTTTCTATTTGTCAAACTCATTCATCCCTCAGGCATTCACTGCTTGCTTGTAAAATTTGTATTGCAAAAATAATGCCCACATAATTTTTATCATAATAGTTTAAATAATGCATGTAGTTAGACACAGTTCATTTATATTGAAAGTAAACCTGTAAACATACATGATCATACAATACACAAGCACTGTAAAAAATATAGGATTAATTTTATAGGATAATTTTAAATAAATATATAGAGTATTGTGGTTTATCATCCTCCGGCTAATTGCCTTATAGAGGCCACATACCCAGGCCAGCCAAGACAAGTTCAGCTCACTAAAGAGCATCATCACCCGCTTTGCTGACCAAGAGTGAGTTTAAAAAGAAATAAGAAAGTAGAAGTCAGAAGTCGAGTTAGAATGATAGCATAGAGAAAGCATACATATAATTGCACTAGATGTTAGAATGTGCAATTTATACTATTAATTAGATTACCTAACTAAGCATGCAATAAGCACAAATATTAGCATTCTATTATTGGACAAACAATTATTAGCATTTTATTATTGGACAAACAATATTGGAGCAATATTACATACTAATGCTTGCCAATATTTGTATGCTAATATTGTCAAAATATTGTTTACCATTATTTGAATTATTAAATAGTTTTTAATAATCTCAATTATGGTAAACAATATTGCACCAATATTTGCATACAAATATTGGCAAGTATAAGTATGCAGTATTGCTTCAATATTGATTATCCAATAATAATATGCTAATACTTGTGCTCATTGGCAGGCTTGTATTGGACAATAGGGGAGTATTAAATATATTTGTATAATGGATAATTCCATGTCATATGGCCAAGAAAGTCATGACACTTGTCATCATATCATCATAACATCATATGTCATCATTGAAAAGTGTCATTTTATATCTCAGATTTAGCTTATTTTTATACAGTTACTTAGTAAGAGTAAAATAAGGTTTCCTTGAAAATTTTAGTATCTGGCTCATAGAAGATTCTAAAATTGAACTATTTTATTTTTAGTAGATATTGACCAGGCCCTGTATTAAAAGTCACATAACTTTAAAAATATTTGATCTTTTTATTTAAAAATTTGTACTTGGTTATTTTCAGGGGTGACAAATCTAATGAAATGATCAGAAATATAAAAAATTATTATGAAGTACCTGTATTTATCAATTTAGATAAATTTAGACAAATTTCTTATATAACTGATTTAGATGCACAAGAAACCCATGTGGGCTGCGCCCCACTAAATTTCTCAAAAAAATAATGTTTCTTTCGATTTTAAAAAAGTGAAGATAACTTTTGAAAAATTGTCTTCAAAAATTTTCAAAAATTGCTTATTACTTGTTCCATTTGGTTGTTGATCATTCTATATTCAATGATCTTTCTCAAAATGTTTTAAGAAAGTTCATATGTTTGTAAGAATTTTGATTTGCTAGTATACAGATTAAAAACAGTCTATCAAAAATAATGATTTTAAAAGAATATTTACATTGTATTGTTTTAAACTTTTAAAACTAAAAAGTTGATAATTTTCATAGCTAAAATGTTAACAGCAAGTTCTCTAATTAAATAAAACCAACAGTAAAAAAAACATCCTACCATAACATTACATCAATAAACAAGAAAATTATCTTTTTTTAAGATCATTATTTTAATTGATATTTAATTCTAAAATTTTAACATCAAGTTGTTTTATTAGATAAGAACTATCAACAGTAACAAAAAAATAATTTGTCATTACACTAGTATAGATTTATTACATATTAAATTCATCATTAAAATTTTTAACATTAACAAACTAATTGCAATTAAACAACCTTGTTAAAGAAACAAAAAACTATCTTTTACATTAAAAAAAAAGTTAAAAGAAACCAACCATTGTTTAGTTTTCCATTGGCATTGTGTTTAAGTTGCTTTAATTAAATTAAATATTATTGTTTTCCAATTTTTAATTTAATCTGAAATGCAAATTAGTAGTTTTACAGTAAAAATCTATATATGTGATTTTGGAAAACTGTCAAATGATAGTTGTTATAAACTAATTTATTGTAAAAAGACTGATTTAAAGAGATTTGATTGTTATAGAGAAGATGCCAGAGTAGAAGAAATTTGAAGATCTGGAACAACAGATGACAAAATTTTAACAATCTGCAGTGACCTCAGAGGCTATGTGGGAATCCTGCATGGGCTTTGAAGTTTTTTTTTATCAACTATATTCTTTAAATGATTAACAAATAATTTTTTATTCATTTTATTTATTCTTTTACTAATTAAAATTTTTAATTATCTGATTTGAAATGTGAAACTTTGAAAGTTTATTAGTATTTTACATAAATAGCATGCAAACATTATCTAACATCGTCAACATGCAAACATCTAACATTGTCAACATGCAAACATTACCTAACATTGTCCTAAAAATAATAGCAAATATCTTTATTACATCACATATGGATTTTAATAAATTAAAGAAACCGCGTCAAAGGTTGAATTAAGCAATTGCGGCATTCAGATGGAAATTCAAAATTTTTTTAATTAAAAAAAATCGCGATTGATGATTTCTTTCATATTTCAGGATTTTCTTGGAGCCAGAGGCTAAAATTTTCAAGAAATTCTCATTTTACTAAGTACTCTCATCTATATAAAAATCAGCAAAATCTGAGATTTATGGTGGCATGGCCTGAGTCAATTGACATGTATTAACCCTAATATTGATATCATACTATAAAATTAGCTTTATTTTTATATTTCTAATTTACTTTCATAAAACTATTTATAAGTATTAGTTTACAATAAATTAAAAATAATTAAAAATACGTGCAAAACATAATATATATTTTATTTTGTATGCAGGATATGGGAAAAGCACTTGGAAAATATGTTGTTGTGTTTAATTGTTCTGACCAAATGGATTATAGAGGGTTAGGAAGAATATTCAAAGGACTTGCTCAATCTGGTAGCTGGGGGTGCTTTGACGAATTTAATCGTATAGAATTGCCTGTTCTCTCTGTTGCTGCCCAGCAGATTTATATTGTTTTGAGTGCCAAAAAAGAGCATAAAAATGATTTTGTCTTTTCTGATGGTGACATTGTCAAACTTAATTCTGAGTTTGGTTTGTTTTTAACAATGGTAAGGAAACATTTTTTGTTAATAAAGCTAAATTATTGTTTGTTCATGATATTTTTTATATTTGTTTGTCTCACTTCTTTTTATTTCTAACATCACATTCTGGATTACTGCAAATAAAACCATTAAAAATGGTAACCATTAAAATAATTGAGGAAACTGATGAAGTTTCTTACTTTTGTTTATTTTATTTTCTCATATTTTTATTATTGTTTTATCAACTTATTTATTTAGGGATAGACAAAGCCATGCAAAAATAAATTGTAGCTGTAATATAGATTTTGATATAGCTGTAAGTGGAATCTATATACATAAACTGGGGGTTTTAGTTTGGGCAGGCAGCCTAATAACTTATAGCGTCTATTTTTTGAAACTTTTTTTTTTATTAAGTTTTTAAATCTGGACATTATGTATGCTTATTATGGACAAGGCTAGAAACTTGAAGTTCCATAAATTTTTTTTTTTTTTAATTTTAACATTATATAATGCTCTATTTTAAAATTTAAAATTAAATTTCTAAATTTGTCTTTTCTATGATTGAGAATCTTGTATTTTTATACAATATTAAACCAATATAAATATATATATATATTTTATATATATATATATATATATATATATATATATATATATATATATATATATATATATATATATATATATGTTACATATATATATATATATATATATATATATATATATATATATATATATATATATATATATATATATATATATATATATATATATAAAATAAAATATATATATAAAATAAAATATATATATATATATATATACATATAATATGTATATATATACATATAATATGTATATATATATATATATATATATATATATATATATATATATATATATATATACATATATATATATATATATATATATATATATATATATATAAGCAGAATAGGAGGGCATTTAACAGCTCATAAAAATGCAAAACCAGTATAGTTATTTTAAAAATTTACTTTTTTTGGAAAAAAAATAAATAATAATTAAATTTTAGTTTTAATTTTTACTATCAGAATCCTGGATATGCTGGTCGTCAGGAATTACCAGAAAATTTAAAAGTGCAGTTTCGAACAGTTGCTATGATGGTACCTGATCGACAAATTATTATACGTGTAAAACTTGCTTCGTGTGGTTTTATTCAAAATATTATACTGTCAAGAAAGTTTTTCATGTTATATAATCTATGTGATCAACAGTTATCAAAACAAGTTCATTATGATTTTGGTTTACGAAACATTTTATCAGTGTTGCGAACACTTGGTGCAGCAAAGCGAATCAACCCAAATGTAAATGTTTTTGTGTGTGATTTTATTAATTTAAATTTATTCTAATATTTTATAGGCTTTTCTTAATAATTTTAAGTTAAGGTGGTATATTTGGCCAATAAAATATATATTTATTTACCATATAAAAATTTTTTTACCATATAAAAAGTATATTTATTTACACACAACAGTTTTGACAAAGTCTTTATCAATTGTGAATAATTTGTGTATATATTACAATGTTACGCATGAGTAAATCAATACAAACAAATAAAAGTGCTAGAAAGCTATTCTAGAAAGAATTGCTAACTTGGTTCCATACGATCACTAATCAGAACGTTTTAAGATTTATAAGATGTTTTAGATGTATAAAGATTCCAGTACATTTCTAGTTTAACAATTGTTGCTTGTGACTAAAGTATTCCACATAAAAATGATTAATATTATTTTTGACAAGTTCCATAATAGTATATGAGAACCATTGTGTGATAATTATTTCTTTTAATTAACTTGTGTCAGATTGTTTTGAAACCAAATTATTATTATTACTTTTTTTTGAGAAAAAACAATACATTAAAAGTTAATACAATGATATTTTTTTATTTATGTTTTTTTTTTCTTTATCTAGCTTGAATAAAGTAAGTATATATAAACCTTAGAAATGTTGTAAAAATAAACAAACTTCAAAAAGAAAAAAAGTTTAGAACCATAGTCTGATTTTTTTATTTAAAATTATTTACTCTTTCTAAAATTAAATACAAGCCAAATGTAACTAAAAAATGGCTAAGTATTTTAAATATTAGTTAAATATAATAATAATAGTAACAATAGTAATAATAAGTATAAGTAAAAAGTTACTAAGTAAGTATTATAATTCTAACTTTAACTAAGTAGTTACTAGGTAACTATTGTGAATAACTTAATGACGCAAAAGGTAAGTAGTTATTGTAAATTGAAATGTAATTAAATGTAATTGCTCACTAAAAATTGTAAGTGATCACTAATATTTGTACGTAGTCACTAATATTTGCAAGTACTTACTAATATTTGTTAGTTATTTGTATGTAGTTAAATTTTTATTGTTAGTTTTTAGTAGTCCCTGTGAAGTATTTTTTAATTTTTATTTGTGAAAGTGGTGAATGTCAATTTTTTTAAAAAAATAAAAAATTCATCACTATTTAAATATCTAATTGATTTAATTTTCACTTTTATTTTTTATCCTTTTTACTTTCTTTTTTTTATTTTCTATTTAAAATTTAAAAAAAAGATATTAAAAACTGAAAAAGATAAAAATTGGTTTAATTTAGTTAATTAATTACGCACTAGACATATTTTTTATGCTAAGGTTTTATCTTAGGATTAAAAAAAAAAAATTCTTCAAAAAATACTTAATTTCTAGGACATCGAAGAAAAGATACTAATGCAAGTTCTTCGTGATATGAATTTAAGTAAGCTTATTGATGAAGATGAGCCACTATTTATGAGTCTCATTAATGATTTGTTTCCGGGATTTACAGTTGAAAAAGTTGGTTATCCAGAAATTAAAAATGCTATTCAAAAATGCACTACTGATGCAAAGCTCATTTTCCACTTACCATGGGTAGACAAAATAATTCAGGTTGACTATTTTCTGTTTTTTAATCAATTCCTATGAAAAACAGTTTTATTTGTTTTAATTGTTGTTGTTTTTTCAGCTTTATGAAACCCAGCTTGTTCGACATGGAATGATGGTACTTGGGCCTTCAGGAGCTGGGAAAACAAGTTGTATACAAATTCTTATGAAATCAATAAGTTTATGTGGCGTCCCACATCGTGAAATGAGAATGAATCCAAAAGCTATTACAGCCCCACAAATGTTTGGGCGGTTAGATGCTGCTACAAATGATTGGACTGATGGCATATTTTCTTCTTTGTGGAGAAAAACTTTAAAGTTAAAAAAGGCAGTTGTTTTTGTTTTAATTTATTTTTGCTTATTTAAAACATATTTAAAAAAAGTTGATGTTACATCTATATAAATTGCTAATAACAATTAAGAGTGAAAAACATCAAAATAACATAAACGTTAAAAAAATAAAAACATTTCAAGTAAATAGAAAGACATTATAAATATAAAATAAAAATATGTTCAGTAGATAAGACATTAAACAACTTAATGTTTAATGTTCACATACTGAAAAATTGTTTCAGAGATATATTGCTGTGATAAAATATATAACCACAACAAACTCTGTTTGTTGGCTACCAATATAATAAAGAGGCTATACAAAATTATTTATTTTTTACCAAATAACTTTTTGCATATTCCATAATGCAAAAATCTGAAATATTAAAATTCTTTTTGCCTATTTGACTTTTAGGGAGATAATGTTTGGATTGTGCTGGATGGTCCTGTTGACACAATATGGATTGAAAATCTCAACTCTGTTTTGGATGACAATAAGACATTAACTTTAGCTAATGGTGATCGTATTCCTATGGCACCATGCTGTAAGATTGTTTTTGAACCGCACAATATTGACAATGCTTCACCTGCTACTGTTTCCAGGTTTAAATATTTTTATTAATTTGATTACTAAAAGTAATAGATTATGATGTTTCTTATGTTTAACTTTTTTATATCTTATTTTATTTAAATTTCTTTATCTTCCTTCACAAAGAAATGGTATGGTCTACATGAGCTCACCAGGTTTAGATTGGAAGCCAATTCTTAAGGTAAACTTTTTTAAGCTATTGTTAGCAAAAGAAAATTTCATTATATGCAGTTTTTGTCTATAAATTTAGGCCTGGTTGAATCAACTTTCACCATTGCAATCAGACATCTTTGAGGCTTTGTTTAATACTCATTTTGCTGATCTTCACTTGTATGTGCAACAAAATCTTGTCTCTAGAATAAAAGTAATATTTTGTAATTATAAATTAATGTAATATAAATAAAGTTTATATATAAATATATATATATATATATATATATATATATATATATATATATATATCTGGGTGTGTAAATATATATATATATATATATATATATATATATATATATATATATATATATATATATATATCTGTGTGTGTGTAAATATATATATACTACTGTGATCAAAAAGTAAGGTGAATTTTTTTATAAAATGAAAAATCTTTATTTATTCTTCCAAATCTGTATCGTCCCCCTCAAAATAATCTCCCTCGGCCCCAATGCACTTTTGCCAATGTTTTTTCCAGTCTTCGAAGCATGCCGAAAAGTCCTCGGTAGGGATAGCCTTCAATGCGCGTGCCGATTCACATTGGATCTCTTCAATGGACTCAAAACGGTTTCTCCGGAGTGGTCTCTTGAGCTTTGGGAACAGCCAGAAGTCACACGGTGCTAAGTCGGGCGAATACGGTGGTTGTGGAGCAACATGGGTAGAGTTTTTAGCTAAAAACTCACGAAGAACCAGTGCTCTGTGCGAAGGCGCATTATTGTGGTGCAAAATCCAAGAGTTATTGGCCCATAATTCCAGTCTCTTTTTGCGAATAGTTTCACGCAAACGTCGCATAACGCTTAAATAATATTCCTTGTTGACAGTTTGGCCAGTTGGAAGGAATTCGTAGTGCACGACACCACAATAATCAAAGAAAACAGTCAACATGACCTTGATTTTTAAGCGACTTTGACGTGGTTGCTTCGGTCTCGGCTCGCCTTTTTCATGGTATTCACTCGATTGGTCGGTTGTTTCAGGGTCGTATGCGTAGACCCAAGTCTCATCGCCAGTAATAATTTGTTTGTAGACGTCTTGATAGTCAGAAAGCATTGCTTCACACGCTTTAACGCGACGCTCTTTTTCAAAGAAATTGAGAAATTTTGGCACCAAATGTGATTTGAGTCTTCTGAGGCCCAAATGATCCTTCAAAATCGCTTGCACCGACCCAAATGATATTCCAACCGTGTCAACAAGGTCTCGAATGGCCTCTTGCAACATTCGATACGTTTCACCGAAGGCCTTTTGCAACATTCGATACGTTTCAGCAGCAGAAATATCATTCCGCAAACAAAATTTAATAGCACTTCTTTGCTCAACAAAATTAGACATTGTGAAAATCACCGAATGCACTTTTGGTACTTCAGAAACAAGCGTAAACAAAAAAAAATAATTATGAGTTTGAAATGTAATTAGGCGCAAATGTTAATGACATTCCTACCAACTTAAAAATAAAAAAGATTGGACGATTCGAATAAGGCGGGAAGTTTAAATTAAAAATTCACCTTACTTTTTGATCACAGTAGTATATATATATATATATATATATATATATATATATATATATATATATATATATATATATATATATATATATATATATATATATATATATATATATATATATATATATATATATATATATATATTAGGCAAAATTATTTTGTTATAAAAAATACAAAATATCAACTTTGGCTTGAACCCAAAGTTGATATTTTGTCTTGTTATTTTAGATTTGTTTTTAGTCTTTATTTTTAGCGGATGATTTGGGTTTCGTAGAATTCGTTTTAGGCTTTTTATACATATATTATCAATATATGTATCAATTTTTTCAATTTTACATTTTGTTCTGGAGATTTCTAGACTAAAAGCTATAGATTTTTAGATGAATTTGCTGTATTTTGTGCTTTATTTTGATAGTCCAATGTTTCAGTAAGCCTAGTTTTTTTAGACTTTTAGAAGTTCTATTATCTTATTTAGACTTCTAGAAGTCTAAATAAGGTAAGAGCTGAGGAGAATTTGGGCTTGATGCCATTGTTGGTTGGTGTTTGTTTCTATATTTAATATTTGTAGAATATAGAGAGATATCATAATATTTGTAGAATATAGAGAGAGGTGCAATCTTACAACAGTGTGACAGATGACATATACACTTTTTTATCTAATAGGCTGGCATAGTTGTAAACCTATGCTACATTGTTTTCTGCCTAGGATGACAAATGCTGGATCTTTTTGATACTACATATGAGTTGTTGCTTGTGGCTACTTGGTAATGTCTATGTAACTACTCTTATTATATAATGAGGGTACAGCTCTAAAATTCAATTTAATTCCAGCATACATAATTCAAATTTTAAAGTCCTCTATTTTTTATCCAAAATTCTTAAATTATGTTACCTTATTCTACTATCAAATTACCATTAGTTTGGAAATATATATATATATATATATATATATATATATATATATATATATATATATATATGTATATATATTCTATAAATTTAAATAATAACAGCTGATAGTTAAAGAAACATGACGCAGAGTTTTACATTTTTGGCGATCATCAGATTATACAAACAATCTTAACGACAAAAAATTAAGTTTCAAAAAATACTATGGAGTGTTTGCTTTGATGACGTTAAAGTTGTTCATAAAAAATTTATTTTCATGGCAACATTTTGATACCAGCTCATTTCTTTTGTTTAATAATTTCAATTTTGATGTTATTATGTGATACATTTCAGTTAGGCAAAGGTTGGGTAATTTTCCTTAAGGTTTAAATGGCTGCGCTTTATCAATAATTTTCCATGTTATAATAGGATTTGTATATCCCTTTTTTTAAATTTTTCACATAAACTTGGAAAGCTCTGCTGAATTTGCTTTGCTTTCATATTGGAATGAGTTTTTGTGTTTGTATTAATGGTCTTTAAAAGTATTCTTTGTTAGTCTAATATAATTAAATCCGCTATCTTGTGGTGAAGTTTTTACATTACAGCAGTATACTATAATTTTTTGGAGGCCTCTTTTTGGAATAACTGAAAAGTATCACATAATAACATCAAAATTGAAATTATTAAACAAAAGAAATAAGTTGGTATCAAAATGTAGCCATGAAAGTAAATTTTTTATAAACAACGCGGACACAGCAAAGTATTTTTTGTAATTGATTTTTTTGTCGTTAAGATTGTTTGTATATCTGATGATTGCCATAGACGTGAAACGCAGAGTCATGTTTCTTTAACTACCAGATGTTATTATTTAGTTTTACAGAACATATTTTGCTCTACTCTGTATATTTTGCTCTACTCTGTGAATATGTTAATGTATATATATATATATATATATATATATATATATATATATATATATATATATATATATATATATATATATATATATATATATATATACACACACATATTATTTACTAATATTTAAAAAAATAATTATTATAAGAGCAATTGCAATAGTTATATTGTATAGTTATATTATATAATATATTATATTTGCGTAGATTCTGGAACACAATGAGATAAACCAAGCAATTAATATTCTTATTGGATTAATGCCAAAAGAAGATAGCCAGCATATTGATAAAACGTATTTAAACAGACTCTTTGTATTTTCTATAATGTGGAGTTTGGGAGCTGTACTTGAGCTGATTGACAGAAAAAAGGCATACAAATTTTTTTTCACCTTTTTTTTTAGCTTTAATATATTATAAAATGATTTTAATAAATGTATATTTCTTAATAGTTAGAGGAATTTATTTATGAAAATTATTCCTCTGCGCTTGATCTCCCACCTGTAAAAGAAGAGGAAACCATGTTTGAATACTTTATTGATAATGATGGTTCTTGGAAACATTGGAATCAAGAGGTGATCTATATTTGTTGTTTAATAAATAGTTTTTAGACTAGGGCTAAGCAGAGAAATCATGTCAAACTGACAGCTGTGTTTTATGTCATTGAAAAAATGTCCAGAACTAATGCTTTTTTCACACAGACCTCAATTTTTAATTGCTTTGTATGTGAAATATATAAGTGATATACCAAAATCACAACATATGTAAAACTCTTTTGAGATAAAATATTAAATTGTATTTTTTTAAAAATATAACTTGTACAATTTTTGACAGGATGGCTCCATTTAAGTTTAGGGAAATTATTTCAGTGTGCTTAAGGCTGTTCAAAAGTTTTTTAAAATAAAGTCTTTTTCAGCATTGTTTTTTTTTTTAGTTTTTTTTTATTAATTTTTTTTTTTCAAAAAATGTGTCTCATAGTGTATGCAATCCAGGGGGCTCTGAAAATTTTGATAGTACCATAATCCCTGTTTTGAGATAAATAAATTCATTGATATATTTGTTTTGTAAATTTAGTTCATTTGTTTACAATAGTTTAATTTTAATTAGTTTATATATTAATAATGTTACTATTAATATGTTATAGAAGTTTTCTTTTTAATGTATGTAGTGTTAGTTTACTATTTGCTTGTTATTGTTATGTTTTTTATTTGAAAGTTTGTTATATAGTTATTTGTTGTTTGTTCATTGTTTGTATAATAATCATGTTGTTTATAAATATATCTTAGGTTAAAGAGTTCACATTACCATTTGATTCAACTCTTCAGTTTTCTTCTATACTTGTACCAACTGTTGATAATACAAGAACTCATTTTTTAATAGATATCATTGCAAGACAAGGAAAGGTAGTTAAAAAATATACAAAAATGTTAAAATTATTATTTTATTTTTTTTCATTTTTTTCAATATAGCTTTAATTACTTATATATTTTTTTAAGTTGCTTTAAATTAATTTTTTTTTTTTTCTTAAGTTGACTTCTTTGTTGTTCACAATTACTTTCCTTTACAATGAATGTTGTATCTGTAGTTCTCCTTCTAGACATGTAACTAAAATCTTCTTTTAGACATCCTCGTTTATTATGACTCATGAAATATCAAGAAATCTGTATAAAGTTGAATCATTTTTTTTCTGCTAGATTTTGTCATTTATAATGATGTCAGATTTCAATATAAGACATCAATGTTTGTGCATAACAAAATAGATTTAACAGATTTAATAATCATTTTGTCATTTACAAAGGAACAATAACAATTAATTAGGGAGAAAGTGTGATAGCAGTGAAGTGCTATGTTACTTTTGTCAAGAGCATATACACGTCAAAAATGTGTCAAAAAAGCAATGTGAGTAAGTAGATGTTTGTGTTAGCTCTCTCTTTAAACAATCAGTAATAGTGTTACCTATAATATACTTAGCAGTGTGTCTCTGGATATCTCACTTGGGTATCTCAGGATATACCTATTGCATTAATTTTTAAAGGAGACATTAATGGCAATTTTTTAATCAACTAAATAAGTATACTTGGATCAAGTTTTTGCAAAAGTTGGTCGAAAAAAGATGTCAGTGTGGTGATTGTGAATAGACTGACAATAAAAAAGTGCAAAAATGCAAGTCAAACTTGAATTACCTTGCCTGATGAGAATAGAATATGTGTGAAAATACTTTTAGTTGGTTTTAAACCACTGGGTTTTTGTTTTTAATGGATATAAATTGAATAGTGGCTCTTGATAAAGTCTTTAAAAAATCTGCATGTGACATTTATTTTATTGGAAAAAAGAACACAGGTCCACTTTGTCTCAAAAATGATATAGAAAATGATGTGATATGAAAATAATGGTTTCACAGCTTTTTTTGAAAAGAATAATTGCGTGAAAATAAAATAACTCTAAGTTCTAGTAAAAAATATCTAAACTCTTGTTATAGTGAAATTAGTTAAAAATAAAGATGTAGTTTTAAAATGAAAATGCAGTTTTAAAATGAAGATGTAGTTTTGGAGATCAGACAACAGTTTCAATTAAATTTCAAGATCAATAACCAGGCTTTTATCATTTTATAGAAAAAAACTATGAATCTTCCAGTTTATGTATGATGCGTACAGATCATTGTATGTTAAAAGAATAGCAAGCCCTCTGACAAATACATGAGATAAAAAACGTAAATGTAATTACGTTGATAAATGGTGACTAATATTGTCCATAGAACTTAGAATGATGATCCTACAAAGTGAGTTAGGAACGTCAAGGAGTTAATATTGTCAATAGAACTTAGAATGATGATCCTTCAAAGTGAGTTAGGAACGTCAAGGATAATAAGCCAACACACTGCAATGATGCTATTTCATTTGTACTAGGAGTAGTTCTTGCAGTTAATAGAATATAATTAAAAACGCTTATTTATTTAGAAAAGATGACACAATACATATAAGCAGGTTAAAACTTGACACAGTAATAAAAGAACTAAACATAAGCCTTAATTGGAAAATGGATATTTTGTATATTTGCACTGATTTGAAAATTGTATTTTATTGAGTCACCAGCGTACTTGATAATCCAGATTGAGAACAAAAACTTAAAATGATATGCTGATAAGAAGGTGACTTTAGACTATCAGGAATATTGTCGACAAGTATCAAATTAGTTTGTTGATACAACATCATTCCAAAATATAGTTGTATGTCTTGTTGCACCTGCAAATAAACTGCAAATAAAATGCAAAATAGTAGTAAGATGAGTTGACAATGATTTTTTATAAAAAGGTAAATAACAAATTTATTTTGGTAGTAAAGTATGTGTGAAGCCCTCGAACAGCTAATCAAAAACTCAAGGTTGGAACATCTCAGGATTATCTTAGAGAAAATAAAAGAAGTAAGCAAAATGTGCTAACACATTTTGACCTGAGACCTGTAAAAGTTGATGTCAATTTAGGTGAACACTCAGATAATGATGAAGAACTGTATATTATGCTACCAGAAAATGAAACAAACAGGATAACAATGTTGTAAAGAAGCATCCAAGAAGATATAATGTAGAAGAATTAATATGTACTTAACTTTTCAAAGATATAAAAATTAATATCTTACAATAATTAAAATTTTAAATAAATAAACTTAAATAAATAAATTTAAAAACTTATTGTTATTTTAGTTGCAATGATTAATTTATTTGTGAACTTTTTTTATTGTGAATTAAGGTTAATGACTCTTAAAAAATTTCAACATAATAAGTTATATATCAAATCTATTGCAAAATTAGTTAAAGTATTTAATTTTTTTAATTTATCATTTTTTTGCTTATTTTCTATATATAATATTTTTATTATAAAAAATCTACTAAATAAAAAAAAAAGTTTAGGTTCCAATAGTATTCCCACATTTCTTCTCAGCCTTGTTTCCCATATCATCTCTAAGCTTTTCTGTAAAATGATAAATAGGTCTTTTAAAAAAAGAATTTTTCCTGATGTGTTTAAAATAGCTAAAATTATTCCACTTTATAAAAAGTGCTTTCTAATGGACCACACTAATTATTGTCCAATTTCGATTCTTTTAATAATAGGTAAAATATTTGAAAAAGTTATGCATAACATATTATACAACTTTCTACATAAGTATCAATATCCTTATAAACACCAATATGGGTTTTGCAACAAGCATTCCACAACTCATGCACTTATTGAAATCACTGAGGCTATCAAAAAAGCTCTCAACAATAAACTTTTTGCTTGTGGTGTGTTTGTTGACCTACAAATAGCATTTGAAACTGTTGATCATTCTATCTTCTTAAGTAAACTAAAACACTAGGGTATTAGAGGAATTGCTTCCCAGTGATTTACTTCATATCTTTATGATAGATTTCAATTTTTCTCTATTAATGGTAATACATCTTCTTTAATAAATTGTACTACAGGTCTACTATGGGTGTACCTCAAGGCTCTTTATTAGCGCCATTGCTTTTTTCTTGTTTTTATTAATGATCTTAGTTTATTGCTAAAATATGCAACTTCCTATTATTTTGCTGATGATACCAACTTGTTTGTAATCAACAAATCGTAAAAAAAAAATAAACAAATACATTAACCATAATCAATCTAGTTAAATGGCTTTGGTCACACAGTCACTAAATACTAGTAAAACTAGTATTTAGTGGCTGTGTGACCGCTGTAGTCACTAAATAATGGTGAAATTATCATATTTAAATCAAGGCAACATCTAAATTTCAGGCAATGTTGTCAAAAAATCAATCTGGTTATCCTGTATCTTGGAATCAAAATTTATTCAAATTTATCTTTTTTACATCACCTAAAAAACTTAGCAATTAAAACCATGTAGATCAAACGGGATGTTAGCTAAAATTCGTCACTATGTTAATCTTGACAAATTGATAATTTAATAGCAATATATATATACTATGCCATTTTTAGATTTGAGAACAAATCTGCTCCCAAGAATTTTAAAGATTATCCAAGTTACAAAATAAGGCTTTAAAAATAATATACTTTTAACACTATCATTCTAATCCTAATCATTCTTTCAAAAATCTATCAAATCTCAATGGAATTGAGAACAAATTTGAAACAAAAATCAATGATCTTGTTCAACTATTAAATTATCCATTTGTCATCATAAACAAAAGTATTTTTATCAGCAGATTTAAAACTTTTATACTGTTAGAGAAAGGTGGTGCTATTAACTTTAATCTTCTAATAACTATAACCTTCACTACAAAATCAATCTTCTGTAATGTATGTTCCAAAGTACATTAAATACCAAAGTATAAAACCTTGGAACAGTCTTTATTTGTCATTAAAATCAATTAAGACACTTACTCATTTTGAACACTGCCTTTTTAATGATTTTTTAGAAATTCTAAAACCTATGATATATATTTTTGATTTTTTTCTTTTTTTCAATATCACTTCCGACAAGGTTGCAAGCAACCACTATGAGAGTTAGTAGTTAAGAGAAAAAATTAAGTTTATAGATGTTCGAGGGAAAAAACTAGATAAATAAGAATTTTTAAAGTACTTAGAAACAGTCACAGTAAAATGACGAGTAACATGAGAATGAATATTAGTAGGTGGCACAAGAGTTGCAAGCTCTTTAGAGCAGTGCCCATTATAGTGTTTATAGAAATGAGAAAGAGAAGCAATATTACAACGATGTGACAATGGTTGGAAGTTGGCTACAAGAGCAGGTCCAACTATGTTTACAATGAAGATATGAAGAAGAGTGCTGTCCATCGAAGAATTATAATTACTTATTACAATTTCTTATTTTATACTATGATTGGTAAGAAAAGATTCAATAATCTAAAAGATGTTACCTGATACACCATAAGAAGAAAGCTTATGAAGAAGACCAACATGCCAAACTTTATCAAAAGCTTTTAAAATGTTGAGAGTGATAGTCTTAGCCTCTTTGGTTGTGGGCCTTAATGCCTGCAGAGTCACTGACACTAGAGCCAATCTGTGTGATAAGCGTTAAAGTCACCCAAAATAACAATATTGGCTAAAGGATAAAGAGAAAGGGCTTGGTCAATTTAATCAGAAGTAACATCAAAAAGAGTTTAGTTTTGAGATGAAGGAGAGCGATATAGAATAAAGTAAAAAGCAATAAAGTGAAGTGGTGCTAAATGAAAGCAAATAAAAGAATAGTGAAATGGATGAATTCTTATGAATGTAGATGTTTGGCCCGGTCAAACATGTACATTGGGGTTTTTACGAATTGAAGGAAGATAATCATCAACACTTATATCACAAGATGAGACAGCCAAACTCAAATTAGTCTCACAAAGAGTGAGTAGGTCTGGTGAACATTGCAAGAGTTGAGACTCAACAGAAGAAAGCCATTGTCATCACTTGGTGAGCATGATGGTATTTTTGTGTTTTATAGTTTTTGGTACTTTAGTCATTTTTAAATTGGTTAAAGAACTTGACTCAAGGCACAGATTGTACTCAGTACACTATTTAATAGTCTGAGCAATTTTTTTATTATTATTATTTTTTTAGTTTATTGTTATTATTACTACTCTCTTATTATACCTATTTTCTTATTTATTAACTTTATCATTATTTTTATTATTATTTTTATTTTTTTATTTTTTTTAATATTTATACTATTCATTGTTATTATTATTGTTGTTGTTATTATTATTGTTGTTGTTATTTTTATTGTTCTTGTTATTTTTATTGTTGTTGTTATTATTATCATTATTACTAAAATTATTATCATTAATATTATTGTCATCTTTATTATGTTCTATTTGTAAAAATCATGGAAAATTTACAACTTAATGTTTCAGAATATATAACTTTCTCCTGATTCTTTTTCTTTATAGTTCTCTTTCTTTTTTTTTCTAATAATAACGTTACCTTACTAAAATGGCTCAATAAAAATTGTCTGACAGTATTGTCAATTTTTTCATAACTTCTATAAAAACTAACCATAATCCTTTGTTATATCTCATGGTTGCTTCTTTTTCCCTATTCTACAAATGCAAGCATGTTTCAAAGTACAACCTTATACAATGTTTTATAGTAGCATCTTTTATTATTGGTCATTTCCAGAAAGTATAGCTGGAGTATAGCGTTTAGAAAATCATTCCATATTTTTCATTTTTTAGTTGTAAAAACAAAGTAAAATTGTTGGGAATGGGAATGCCCTACTATTTTTGTGTCACTTCTCATTTAGTTTAGTCATATCTTTTAGATTACAATAATTTGTTCATGTTTTCATTTATCAAGTAATTGTTTTTACTTGCTCAAAACTATGTTTTCTAGTTTTTTCTTCTTTTTCTGATTTATATATTTTTTTTTTTTTTTTTTTTTGAAATCTTTGGTTATTTTTGGTCTTTTTTTTTATTTATTATTTTTTGTTTGTTATAAGTCTATTATATTTGTTACTTTTAAAGTCTATCAGCTTCCATTGCTTTTAAAGTCTAACAGCATTTTTATTACCTTAAAAGTCCCTCGACCTTATATTGAATTTTTTTTTTTTTACAATTTTTAAAAAAATTTATGTTTAGGCAGTTCTTCTTATTGGTGAACAAGGCACTGCAAAAACTGTTATTTTGAAAAACTTTTGTAGTCAATATAATTCTGATGAACATATGTATAAATTAATGAACTTCTCTTCTGCGACATTACCACTGCTTTTTCAGGTATTTTTATGCAATACATTTTTTTTCTAATAATTAACTTTAAAGTTAGGTTTCACTGCCAAATCAACAATTTAAAATTTATTAATTTAAGGAAAAATCAAATAGTGTTTAGGAACCACAAACTTTTTTTTAATATTAGCTCTTTTAAATGTCAATATATGAAATAATACAAAAAATTGTTTAATTTATATAAATTAAACAAATATTCTTATAAATATTCAACATATAAATAAAATATTTCAGTAATGCAATACATTTTTTTTTTCTAATTTATTTTCCATGTTTCAACCTTGTATAAAAGTTTCTATTATAACATACGTTATACTATTTTTTTTATTTTATTTATTTATTTTCTATGTTTCAACCTTGTATGAAAGTTTTCATTATGATAATTTTTAATTTAATGAGTTTTATGAGCTGTTTATTTTGAAAGTGTAAATGACTTTGTTTTTAAACAGAGATTTTTAAAGGTTTGTATTATAACATACGTTATACTACAAAAAAAAAAAACTTCTTTCCAAAATATCTCAATAATTTTTAACACAATTGATTTAAATTATTTCACAAATAAAGAGATACCATTACATTGAAATCATTGTTATCGATAACTTGATTTTTTTGAAAAGGTAATTTATGCCACTTTCAAAATAAATGGCTCATATGATAAGTTTCCATTTACTAGAAAGAAATTAGTAGAAAGGTTACTAGTCAGAGATTACATGCTTTTTCTACCCTTACCCACAATTTAATTGAGGGATTTGTTTTAAAGTTTTTCTTCACCTAGGTAAGTTGTCTTTATCATAGTGAAGGAGCCTCATTTGTCCCATAAGAAGCAGGTTATACTAAATTTTATGTCACTAGTAGCAGAGTGACTTGGCCCAATTATACATTTATGTATAATTTTTTTATTATTATTTTTGTTATTAGTTTTTTATCTATTAAAAAAAATAGTTTATATAAATATTGGACTTATTCAATGTATATTCAAAGTTAATATTAAGTTAATATAAAAAAGCTAAAATTTCAATAGCAAAATCTTTTTCTCTTTTTTTTCCTCTGTTTATTTTTTCGTTTTTTTTTTTTGTTTTTTTGTTTTGTTTTTTTAGTTTTTTTTTATTATTTAATATATTTGACATAATATTGGCAATGAGTCATTTTGCAGGTTAAAATAGTTTGTTATTATTAAGCATGTTTGTTTTATTTTTTAATATCAAAAACCAGTGCTTTATTTTATAGAGATCAATTGAAAGTTATGTAGATAAGCGTGTTGGAAATACATATGGACCATCTGCAGGTCGAAAGATGACAGTGTTCATTGATGACATAAACATGCCTGTTGTAAATGAATGGGGAGATCAAGTTTGTTTTGTTTATTTTTTTTTTTATATAAAATTTAGTTAAAACATTTTATATTTTGAATTTAATTTTAACTGTATTAATTTTTACACCTACTTTTTAAAGTATTTATATATTTTTAATATTTAATAAATTTATATTACTGTGGGTTTAAATTTTCACAGTACTAGTATGTTCTACTCAAACGCTTATTTCCAAAATAAGGCCTCACTTTTCATTGGTGCTAATTGCAACTTTAAATATTTTCAAATAAACTTAATAAGGCCATATTAAGTTTAAATTTTACTGCGCTAAGACTGATAATATAAAAACAACTGTTTGAATTAAAAAATATTAATACTTTGTATATTTCATATAAATAATCATTATATTTTATGTTTTTTTTGTTTTTTTTGCAGAAACATTTTTTTGGTTCAATTTTTTTTTATCCAAATCTTTTTTAAATGAGTTTTCAATTAAAAACCTGAACCCTTTATGTTTTTGAATTCTTCTCTATAATTACAATTCTTTTAAGATCTTGAATGTTGTACTTTTGAAAAACTTTTAATATTTTTAGAGAGTTTAATTATAAAATTTTGGCTTAATTTCTAAATTGATAAAAGTTTTGGAAAAATTTAACAGAGTAACTAATGGAAACCAATGGAAAATGTTGGGAATATGAACAGCTTTTATTAAAAAAAAAATAGTAATTTTTGATGTACCCAATAATAATTTTTAAAATAGATATCAAATACAGACATTTTTATGGTAAAAAAAAAAATTAAAAAAGTTTTTATTTTGTTTACAATAAATCTCCTTCATATTTAGATACTGCCTGCCTAAATTCCTCAGTTAATTTATGTTGATATATGTACATTCTTCTTACCCAAACCCTTCAGTTAATTTATGTTGATATATGTAAATACTTCCTGCACAAACTCTCCAGTTGATTTATGTTGATGTGTACAACATCATCAGTTACATTTCAGGCTTGCCTAAATCCACAGTAATAAAATTATATATAATTTTATATAAACTTATTTACTAAACAAATTTAGATTACCAATGAAATTGTTCGCCAACTCATGGAGTGCAAAGGAATGTATAGTATAGATAAACCAGGCGATTTTATGAACATTTCTGATATTCAATTTGTAGCGGCTATGGTTCTTCCAGGTGGAGGCAGAAATGACATACCTGAGCGCTTAAAGCGACATTTTAGCATATTCAATTGTACAATTCCTTCAAATGCTTCGATAGACAAAATTTTTCAGACTATTAGTTGTCACTACTTTTCTAAGGAGAAAGGATTTTCAAAAGAAATTCAAGATCTTGCATATGTACTTGTGAAGTCTACAAGAAAACTTTGGCAATTTACAAAACAAAATTTATTAGCTTCTCCAGCAAAGTTTCATTATATCTTTAACTTAAGAGACCTTTCACGAATATGGCAGGTAGGTTTTAATTTTGAAATTGAGTTGTAGAGCTAAACAAATTAACAAGTTTAATTTGTTTGATATTTTAAAAAAAAATTTCTTTGTTTATTCTTCTATTATTTTTTTTTTTTTGTACTTCTTTGAAAATTTATTTAAATTTTTTTAAATATATCTTAGGAATTCACTAATTAATTATATACTCACTAATTAATTATATACTTACTAATTAGTTATATACTCACTAATTAATTATATACTTACTAATTATATAACTGAGAATGTTGATGTCTATGTAGAAGTAAATGTTCTAAAAATTAAATATTATAACAACAAATATATAATATTTATAGTCATATATATTACTTTTATAACAAAAAAAATTAAAGATTATAATAATAAATATAAAATAAAAATTTCCACACAATGCGATAAAGAAACTTTACTTATGAAACTTATAATGAAAAGTATATTATTTTAATTTTTCATTGTTCAAGAATATTATGAAAGCTTATTATTTTTGTCTCTATCAACATATGAAAGAGAAATGTAGCATTGACCAAATTTTCTTTTTCATACTTTTATTGAAAATGTTTAGTTTAAAAATAAAATATTCATAAAATACTGGGTTGATCTATAATAGTGTAATATATATCTACATTGTTGATCTATAACAGTGTAATATATATCTACTGTGTTGATCTATAACAGTGTAATATATATCTACTGTGTTGATCTATAACAGTGTAATATATATCTACTGTGTTGATCTATAACAGTGTAATATATATCTACTTTGTTGATCTATAACAGTGTAATATATATCTACTGTGTTGATCTATAACAGTGTAATATATATCTACTGTGTTGATCTATAACAGTGTAATATATATCTACTTTGTTGATCTATAACAGTGTAATATATATCTACTGTGTTGATCTATAACAGTGTAATATATATCTACTTTGTTGATCTATAACAGTGTAATATATATCTACTTTGTTGATCTATAACAGTGTAATATATATCTACTTTAGCTTTTTGTAGGATGAATTTACTTTTATTTTTTATTGACTTTTATACAATATTTTTATTTATTTTATATAAAATTTATCATTTTCGATTTTATTACATAAAATATAGTTTTTATAAAACCTTGCTTTTTTTACGACTAGATGGTTTTTTTTTTGGCTCTTGATCTTTTTTTGGCTTTTGAATTTTTTGTTTGTTTTTGATGATAATAGGGACCTCTCAAATGTTTTAAATGTCTTGAGCAGCCACTGAAAATAGTTTTTGTAATCCTTACTTTAAAAATCATTTTGTTATACACAACTTGTAAAAAAAATTTATTTTTAAGGGTATGTTAAGCATTGATGCGTCCACTGCAAAGAATAAGCAAATTTTTTTAAATTTATGGAAACATGAATGTTGTCGTGTCATCTCTGACAGATTCTTTGTGAAGAATGATGTTGAATGGTTTGAGAATTTAATTACAAGTGTTGTTAAGGAAGATTTTGATACTGAGTCTGATATTACTAGTGCCTTGTTAAAAAATGAGCCTTATTTTGTGACCTTTATGAAAGGTAAATTTTTATGAGTTTATGTTATATAATATTATTTTTCTTTAATAATGTAACTAACAAATTTTTGAAACATTCTATATCAACTACTACGGTTAAAGTTTTTTTGTGTGAAAACTTATATTTAAATTTAATAGGAGAGATTGGTTCTGCACATACTGAAAATGTATATGAACCATTGGAATCAATTGATAGTGTTAAGTTTCAATTGGACAAGTATCTTAAAATGTATAATGAGATAGTGAGAGGATCACAGTTAGACTTAGTCTTCTTCAAGGTTATTATTTTAAAGTAAATTTTAACTTATTAGATGAACAAATAATTTTTGTAATGAGAGACGAAAAAACAATGTTGTTTTTCATATCCTTTGAAATATACTATTTTTTTTTTTTTTTGTATTAGTATTTTTTATATATTTATTTTTTTATGTGTAACATATGAGTAACTTTTTATATTGTGTTTAAATAAAATGGTATTGAATAGGTAATTTTGGGCAACTAGAATCAAAGAAAGTATTAATAAAAATATAAAATTAAAACAATTTAAGTTTTAAAACTAAACCAATATTAAATCTTTAATTCAAATCACAACAAACAGTTCTAACAACAATGTATGTTAAAAAATAATAATTCAATTAATAAAAATTATAAACATTTCAGTTATTTTCATTAATCGTCTATGAATTTGTAGTTAATGATTGTTAATTTAAAAAGTTGATAACTTAGTATTGTTATAAAAAATAGTTTGTTATATATTGTTGTTATACATTAGTATATTATTTTTACTGATATGTTCAAAGTTTTACTTTATAATAAGTATCAAACAATTTTCCAAGAGGAGGAGTTTCCCAAGAGAGTTCTTCTAGCCACTGAGTAAATATTAAACATAAAGTTCAGTACTAAAATATAGAGTATACAAATTAATATTTAAATTTTGTTCAAAAATAAACAAACAAAAAAAATGCAGTGTATACACTGACACATTAACACTTTCTTACTTTGACACATTAACAGTGTATACACTGACACTTTCAAGGTGTTCTTTTTTGTTGTTGTTGATGCTTTATATTTCATAGTACGCAAGTAAAATTTAAAGATTGAGAAATTAATTATTTTTTTAGGATGCTATGGTTCATCTAATCAAAATATCTCGGATATTAAAAACTCCTCGTAGTAATGCTCTCTTAGTTGGAGTTGGTGGGTCAGGCAAACAATCATTGACTCGATTAGCCTCATTTATTGCTGGTTATTCTACATTTCAGATTACTTTAACCAGGTTTTAGTTTTCACATGTTGCAGATAATTTATTTTTGTTCAACTTAAAATTTTCTTCAAAGTTTTTTAATGAATTACATGATTTAAATGTGAATAGTTACTTAAAAGTTTAATTATTTATTCAGTGTCATTGTTATTATCAATATTAATTTGAAAAATAATTTTTCTTGAATGAATTTTTTTTTCAAAAAATAGTCATTTTTTCATAAGTATCTTAAAGAATTTGTGGATATACATGGTTATACTTACCCGGATATACTTACCTGGACATACTTACATATACATTCTTCTGAACATTTTTGGAACCATATAATTTACTAGATATATATGGTGTGATGCTATCTGTAACAGGCTTGTTATTTTATCTCAGAACCATGATTATGCCTCTATATAATTCAACTGATTCTTTATATGAATTAGATAGATTCTAATTTTTTTTTTTTTTATCTATTTGCATATGGTTTGTTCCACTTTCAACTTACGTAATATTTGTAACAACTTTATGAAAAATATCTTGTTTTTATAAATATTTTTAATCTAACCTATAGCTTATTTTTATCTTCAGACCAACAGTATTCATAAAATTTTTGTCAGTAGTAGGTTGAAATCTAGACAGATTCTTTTTTAATGATCATTTTTTATACTTTGCTTTGCTCATTTTGAACAAATGAATATATCAGTAGTCTTACTAGCATCAGTTATAGGTTTCTAAAGTGTAGGACTGTAAATCTTTGGCATTTTATATTATGATAATTTTAAGAGGTATAAAGTCAAATAAAAGTTTTGTCACATCCAAATTTTAAATAGAAGGCAACAATATGAAGGCTACAAAGGTACCAGTTTTATTCATACATAAGGACTTAAAATGTTAAAATTTGATCATTATTGTATTTAACAACCATTCACTAACAAATATTTAGCAACCAATTACTTTAAGGTGTATTAAATATTGTCTAAGAGATACTTCGTCAGGCTTTCTCAGTACTGCAATGTTATATTATTGCTCGAATAAACTTTGCTACTTTATTGATGTGGTATTTGTTAATGAGCTTTAACACAATTGCCTCAAATTGTATTTTTATTTAATATGATGAATTCTATAATCCATCATTATTTCATTTGATTCCAGCATTAGGTTTTAGTAATAAAAGTTATAAAAAGACTTTCCACAGTATTGAAGGTAAAAAAGTTGCATAGAGTATTGCAAAACACATTGCCAGAAAAATATTGACACAAAGAAAATACTTATCAAATCAAGTTTGCTTAAATTAAAATCCAATTTGTTAATTATTGATTTGATAAAATTAGTGACTTTTATCTTTAAACTGTGTAGTTCAAGCAACACACCTAATCTCATTGATGATTTAAGAAAGTTGTAAAAAATTGCTGGTTGCAAATTAATCTATTGATTGTTGAGTTATTAAATCTATTGATTATTGAGTTATATTAAATGACTTTTATCTTCAACCATTTAGATCATACAACACACCTAACCTCATTGATGACTTAAGAAAGTTGTACAGAATTGCTGGTCAGCAAGGGAAAGGAGTTACATTTATCTTTACAGATAACGAAATAAAAGATGAAGTGTTTTTAGAGTACATTAACAGTGTGTTAGCTTCAGGAGAGGTTGGTTTTAATGTGATTCAATATTGTAAAGAATTTTAAATAACAAACTGAAAATAACATTAATAATTATTTTTTGAACATTTGCTTGCATTTTTTTTTCTTTTTTTTTTTTTTTCTTCCTAAATTTTGCCTTTTTTTTTTTTTGTACTTTTTTATTTATTTTTATTTTGTAATATCATTATAGATTTCTAACTTATTTCCTCAAGACGAAATCAATGAGATCACAGATGAGCTGATTCCAGTTATGAAACAAGAGTATCCACGGCGACCACCAACTCTTGAAAACTTGTATGATTATTTTATTACCAGAGCCAAGAACAATTTACATGTTGTACTATGCTTTTCTCCGGTGAGTTGGAAAAAAAAAATATTTTTTTACTTTGCCATTGTAGAGTTAGTTAGGTCCTACAAAAGTTTGGTGACTTTTTCAATCATTTTTTGATGTTTTGATGAAAAAAAATTTTTTTAATATTTTGATGAAAAAAAAATTTTTTTCACCAAAAAAGTATTTTTTAGTTTAATAATCTTTTGAAAGAATTTATTAAAACTTTATTTCTTTTCAATTAAACTTTATTATTTAAACATTTTGGAATTGCAATGAAAAATAACTTTCTTTTAAACAATAATAATTTTAAAAAGTTTAAAAACCTCTTTTAGAGTTGCAAAATTTATAAACTATTAAACATTTATAAACTATTAAACTTTTAGGAAAAGAGCCAGATACTTGTAGGTTTTAATTCAAAATTATTTCAAACAAATTTTAAATTGAATTGTATTTTTTACATCTTTATTCAAAACATTAAATTAAAAAAAAAAAATTTATTGTTAACTTTATTATTGTTATTTTATTTTACAGGAAAATTGTAGTTCTTTTGTTATTTTCTTGATTTTTTTTTTATAAAGAAAAGTAAAGTATATAACCAACATAAAGTAAATTAAAAGTTCCACTAACAGTTCAAGCATATCCAGATTGAAATATTTTAGTTCATGCATTTAATTCTTGGAGAAAATATTATTTGATACTTTGAGTCTTAACTTATATTATGTGCATTAGTAATGTTTGATACTTTGAGTCTTCACTTTCTGAACTATTCAAATAAATTTAAGTAACTTCGTTAAAAAATTTATATTTTTAATAAGCTTTAATGTGTCTATATCAATACTTAATTGAGAAAAAAATAGAGAAAAAAATAGTGGCTATTATTATATTTTTTGTTTAAAACATAAAAAATGTATGTATTGATTATAGTAAGTATAGAAAAAATTTATTTTCTTTAATTAGCAATTTTAATTTTATTAAAATCGCTAATTAAAGAAAATAAGCTATAAATAAGTTGAAACTAATTTAAATGAACTTTAAATTAATTGAACCCAATTTTAATGAGCAATAAATTAGTTGAAACTAATTTAAATGAACTAAAAAATGAGTTGGAGTTAATTTAAATGAGCTATAAATATGTTGAGGCTAATCTAAATGAGCTAAACAAGGAAATTTCTCATTAAATAATTTTAAAAATTACAATATTTTTTAGGTTGGTGATAAGTTTCGAAATCGAGCCCTTAAGTTTCCAGGTTTATTGAGTGGTTGTACTATCAACTGGTTTTCACCATGGCCAACAGATGCATTGATTGCGGTTTCTAATCATTTTCTACTGAAGTACAATGTTGTTAACTCTCTTGATATTGTTAAACCCATTGTTACCACTATGGGAGCTTTTCATGTGCGACATTTTTTAGTTATTTGAACCATTAGTATTTTTTGTATACTTTATGTTATGAATTTTTTGTATTTTACAATATAATTTTTTGCATGAAAAAGTGAAACAACAAAACTTTTAATAGAAATGTAAATAGAAACATTTTTAATCTTTAGAGTGTTGTTGATGAGACTTGCTTAAATTATTTTGAAAGATTTCGGCGGCAAGCTCACGTTACTCCAAAGTCTTACCTATCATTTATCTCAGGCTTTAGACTTGTATACTTAGAAAAGCAAAAAGAAATCACTATGCTGTCAAATAGAATCAAAACTGGTTTGGAAAAACTTGATGGAGCATCAAAAACGGTTGTAGAGTTATCTCAACAACTTGATTCCAAGGAAAAAGATATAATAATTGCATCTAAAAAAGCTGATAGTGTGTTGAAGGTATTTTTGTGTGTGTGTGTGTTTTTTAACGCTTTTTTTTGTTACTTTTTTCAATCTGAATAATATATCCATTATTCAATAATTGCTAAGGTTTTTCAAACTTGATGTTATCAAATTTATTTTTCAATAAAATTGAATTCTTTTAGGAAGTGACTGAGACTGCTCAAGCTGCAGAGAAAGTAAAATCAGCTGTATCTATAGTAAAAGATAAGGCTCAACTTATTTTCGATGCAATATCGGTGTGATTTTTTTTAGTTTATTTTTTTTATTTGTTTTTTATAACACTGTTTAGTTTGTTTTTATTTTAGTATTATTTAAATATTTAGTTAGAATTTATTTTTAGATTTTTGTTTGCAGTATTATCTTTACTGTATTTATTTAAATAATTTTAAATTTAAAAAGTTTTTTATTTTTTTTTTATTTTTAGACAGATAAGTTATTTGCAGAAAATAAACTTAAAGTTGCACAACCTGCATTAGATGAAGCTGAGGCTGCACTGAATACAATAAAACCTGCTCATATATCGAATATACGTAAACTACTTAAGCCACCGCATTTAATCATGCGTATCATGGACTGTATTCTAATTTTATTTAATCACAAAATGGATTCAGTAACTATAGATTTTGAAAAAAACTGTGTTCGGCCTTCATGGTCAGAATCGTTGAGGATGATGAGTCAAGCTGGATTTTTACAGTCTTTGTTATCATTTCAAAAGGTTTTGTTTTTTTCTTTTTAGTCATTACAAAAAAATAATTCTAGGTTTAAATATCGTATTCAAAGTTTTATACTTTTTCTCAAATAAATTTCTTCACCAGGATTCAATAAATGGAGAAATGGTGGAGTTAATGGAGCCCTATTTGGCGGCAGAAGATTATAATTTGGATGCAGCAAAAAAGGCATGTGGTGATGTTGCTGGTTTACTGTCATGGACCATTGCTATGTCATATTTCTATGGAATTAATAAAGAAGTGCTTCCTTTAAAAGCAAATCTTGTAGTTCAATTAGCAAGATTAGAAACAGCTCAAAAAGATCTTGCGTGTGCAGAGGCTGAGTTAAACACTAAACAGCATGAGCTAGATGTTGCTCAAAAAAGATTTGATGATGCAATGAACGAGAAACAGGTGCACTATTAATAATTTTTTGTATAAACTTTAGTGTTAAGAATTTCATGTTTATTAATTCATGTTTTAGATGCTTCTTGATGATGCAGATTTATGTCGCTTACGAATGGCTAATGCAAAAGCTTTGATAGATGGGTTAGGTGGTGAAAAACACAGGTGGACAGAGCAAAGCAAAAGATATGATGAACAAATTCAAAGGTTGGATTTTCAGTTTTAATAAGAGTTGTTTTTTTTAATCATATTTTATTAATTATATTTTTATTAATACTTGTAATATTTGTTTATAATATTGGCTTTGTTGTTCATCAATAAAAAATGTTCTAAATAGTTTCAACTTTTTAAACATGTTATTGAGTCTTAAGTTAATATATATTTTTTTAATCTAATTCACTCCAACTGTAACGTTGATTCAACTGTAACGTTAATTCAACTGTAACGTTGATTCAACTGTAACGTTGATTCAACTGTAACGTTGATTCAACTGTAACGTTGATTCAACTGTAACGTTGATTCAACTGTAACGTTGATTCAACTGTAACGTTGATTCAACTGTAACGTTGATTCAACTGTAACATTGATCCAACTGTAAGTTGAGACTTACTAGAAAACTAAAAATAGAGTTAAAGGAAACTGAGCAAAGAAATGGTTGACAGAAGGTTTGAAAGATTGTTGGAAAATATGAATATAAGAGAGAGTTCCAAAGGTTTATATATATATAAGATATATATATATATATATATCTTATATATATATATATATATATATATATATATATATATATATATATATATATATATATATATATATATATATATTAAGAGAGGGTTCAAAGTGGAGGAAAATCTAGATGAATAAAAGTTTTTAGAGCATGAAAGAACAGTAAAAGGATTTGACTTTGCCAAATTTTTTTTTTTTAAACATCTTCGTTTCCAACAAGGCTGCAAGCAACCACTAATTAGTGTTGGAAGTTACTGGAAGAGAAAAGATGAAGATTGTTGAGCAAGATAACAATTGACAGACGGCTTAAAAGATTGCAAATTATATGAATCAGGAAAACAAGATGAAGGAAGCGAATTCCAAAGAACTGATGTTTGAGGAAAAAAACTAGACGAATAAGAGTTTTTGGAGCATTTAGGAACAGTAACAGAAAAAGGATGAGACAATTGAATGGCGAGTAACACGAGAATGAATTTTAGTTGATGGCACAAGAGATGCTAGCTCTTTAGAGCAGTGCCTATTATAGTATTTGTATAAAAGAGAAAGAGAAGTAACATTACAACGACATGATAAAGAATGTGATTAAAGAAGCAAATTCCACAGAACTGATGTTTGAGGATAAAAACTAGTTGAATAAGAGTTTTTAAAGTACTTAAGAACAGTCACAGTAAAATGACGAGTAACATGAGAATGAATTTTAGTACATGGAACAAGAGACGCAAGCTCTTTAGAGCAATGCCCATTATAGTATTTATAGAAAAGAGAAAGAGAAGCAATATTACGACAATGTGATAATGGTTGGTTGCAAGAGCAGGTCCAACTATGTTTACAATGCATTTTTTCACCTTGTCTAAGAGAGAAAAGGCATCTGCCCCAGAAATGGTAACAGTATATCTTACAAGGACGGATTTGAGATTTATGGAGATAAAGAATAGAATTCTGTGTAAGTGGCAAGCACAATAAAGAGATGCAACCTCAGCAGATTTTGCAATGGATTTGATATATGGTTTCCAAGAAAGATTGGAAGTAAGGCTAATCCTTAAAAATGATGGGCAGATGACTCATCGAGTACACTACCGTTCATAAATATAGGAAGATCTAGATTATTGCAATAACATTCAGCTACAGTTTAGATACAGAGAAGAACTGCATGCCAAACTAACCTCTCCACCTCTATCTAATTTACAATAAAACCTATTGGTTATTACTGTTAGCAAATCAGAACAAGAAGATCGAATTCTATATTGATGATCAAAAAGTAAGTTATTAGATTCATGATGTGAGGTTAAGTGTTTGTTAAATAAAAACTCAAAAACCTTGCTTATGATAGAAGACTAATGGGTTGGTAGTTAGATGAGTCAGATTGCTTTCCAGAGTTTTTGAAAATAGGGATGACAGATGCCGCTTTCCAGTAGGCAGGAAAACTAGGCTCTGATAAGCACTTGTTAAATAGTTTTAAAAGTATAGACAACAGCTTCAGATAACACTTCTGAAAGACTATAACAGGTATGTTGTCTACAAGCTGTAGTAGAGTATAAGCATGAAATCACTTTAGATACAGAAACTGGAATGATACGAATGGCAAGCAATGGATCAACCTGTTTGTTGGCTATATCAGGTAGAACGCAATTAGTGGAATCAAGAGATAATATTGATAAAAAGCAAACAATTCAGTTTTATTGTACCCCTGATAAAGTCAATAATGTATTATATTGATGTTGGTTACATTGTTCATATGTTTATTTTTTTAATTTTTTTTAATGTGCATTGTTTTGAAATAGCTAATTCAATGTTTAATTAAAATTAGGTTAGTGGGTGATGTATTGTTAGCTACTGCTTTTTTGTCATACTCTGGTCCGTTTAATCAAGAGTTTCGAAAATTTCTTATATTATTATGGAAAAAAGAAATGAGGATAAATATGATAACTTTTAATGAGGTATTTTTAAATAATTTTTGTCTTTTTTTTTATATTCTATTTTTTTAAACTAATAATATTAATGATTCTCTATTAGGATTTAAGTTTGGTTACTTTTTTAACTGATGCAGCATCAATAAATGAGTGGAGCTTGCAGGGGTTACCCAATGATGAGTTATCACTTCAAAATGGAATTATAGTTTCAAAGGCATCTCGTTACCCTTTACTGATTGATCCACAAGTATATTTATTAAAAAAACTTTTAGTATTTTTATACATCTCTTTGATTACATTTTTGTTTTGTAAAACATTTTATGAGATATGTTTTAGTACTCTGAGGTGGCAAATAAATGGGGGGGGCATAGTGTTATAATAAGAGGCTATTCTGATTTTTTGATCTGAAAGCATTTTGGAAAATAAGCAAAGAAAAAGCTACAACGTTAATTGAGAAAGGGGAAAAGGGGTTTAAATAAGGTCTAAATGGGCAAGCAATAAAGTTTAAAATTAATAAAGCAGGATAATAAACCACCTAAGAGTACAAAAACTTAATCTTGTTTTTGCATATATTTCAAGGGACAAGGCAAAGCATGGATAAAGAATAAAGAAAAAAACAATGACTTGTGTATAACTTCATTAAATCAAAAGTATTTTAGAAGTCATCTTGAAGATGCATTGTCATTAGGTAAACCATTGCTCTTAGAGGATGTTAAAGAGGAACTAGACCCTGTTTTAGATAATGTTCTTGAGCAGAATTATATAAAATCAGGAAGAGGTTTTAAGGTTAATATGCTTCAATTTTTTTATTTTTTTTATTTAATTAAAAAATTAACTTTACATGGTTTGAAAAATTAACCTAATATGGTTTAATATATATTAATATGATAAAAAAATAAAATTATTTATAGGAATGATTTATGTTTTAGGTACGGTTAGGTGATAAAGAGGTTGATGTTATGCAAGGCTTTAGGTTATATTTGACTACAAAACTTCCAAATCCATTATATACGCCAGAAGTTAGCGCAAAGACTTCCATTATTGATTTTACTGTCACAATAAAAGGTTTAGAAGACCAGCTATTGGGGCGTGTTATTCTTAAAGAGAAACAGGTATAGCTTTTTGTTCAAATTTTAAATGGTTATATTTGGAATTTAAACCTTGGTCCTCAAGTCATAACATTAACTTTTAGGAACTAGAACGTGAGCGTTTAAACCTTATAAAAGAAGTTGCAATCAACCATACAAAAATGAATGATTTAGAAGATAATTTGTTGCATCGGCTTACAAGTACAAAAGGCTCTTTAGTTGATGATGACACATTAATTGCAGTACTTCAAACTACCAAACAAATGTCTGAAGAAATTAGTGAGAAACTTTCCAGTGCTAAAGAAACTGAATTAAAGATTAACATTGCACTAGAAGAATACAGACCAGGTTTATATTTGTCTTTAAATTTATGTAAATAAATTTTTTAGTTTTTATAAATTTTAATTTTTAAAAATAAAAGTTGTTCATTATAAATTTAAATTTTGTTAGCCTAACAAAATTCATTTGGCTGAAAAATTTTATGTGGTTATAGTTAAAGTTGTAGATATATATATCTGCAACTTTAACTATAATTACATAAAATGTGGTGTGTATATATATATATATATATATATATATATATATATATATATATATATATATATATATATATATATATATATATATATAGTAGTCCTCTTAGCATTAAGGAGGTAAATACAGTAAAACATATAAACAAAAACAAAAAATTTGAGTGTTTTGTTTTTGTTTTGTTTTTTTGTGTTCACCTCCACAATCATTTTTAACAACTCACAGAAGTATACATATTTTAAGTGGCAACACGTGGAAGTATTCTTTACTTTTTGGTTGTGGAAATGTCTTTTGTCAACAATATGTATCAAACATCTCTTCGACAATTTCTTCGCATTTTTGATCGCGCTTTAGAAAAATCACCAAAATCACCTATTCTTCTGAAGCGAATTAGCAGTATCACTGAGTTCCTTACATATGAAGTGTTTATTTATATGATGAGAGGATTTTTTGAAGAGCATAAATTTCTTTTTACATTGTTGTTGGCATTAAAAATTGATCTGCACAGTGGAAAGATTAAACAAGAAGAGTTTGACATTTTCATAAAAGGTTTTTATTTAATTTTTTTTTTTTTTTTCAAAATCAAAATTGATAAAGATAAATAATAAATGAAACATGATAAAATTTAGGAGGAGCTGCTTTGGACTTAAACATTGTTCAACCAAAGCCAAAAAAATGGATTCAAGATGTGGCTTGGTTAAACTTGGTAGCACTCAGCAAGTTAACACAGTTTTTACAAATTCTTGTTCAGGTTAGTTTTATCAGTTTCATATGTTTTCAAATCTCAAATTTTTTTATAGAAGTACCAAATTCCATTGTGTTTATCATTTTATAGTTTAAGTTTGATCATGATATTTTAAAATCTTGTTGTTTTTTTTTTGTTTTTTTTGCCTCAAACAAATCAAACTTTCTTATGACAAGTTAAAAAATTGCATTTTGATTTTTACTAATGAATTTGATTTCTGAAGGAACTTAGTATAAATAAAACCTAAGAATAAAAAAAGTACTTGTGTTTGGTTAGTTACCGTTTAAGTGTTTTTAAAGTATTTTAGCTATATAATTACTTTTTTCTTTAATGGCTAATTTATCTGTATTTTAATCTTTGCCTTAGTATTTCATTGTTTTAATTTTTTCCTGATTTTTATTAATTTTTGGAGATACTAACTGTAATTTTTGGAGATACTGAAGTTAATTTTTGGAGATATTGACTATAATTTTTGGAGATATTAACTGTAATTTTAGGAGTTATTAATTGTAATTTTAGGAGATACTAACTGTAATTTTTGGAAATAAAAGCTCATGTTTTGTCATTACCAATATTAGAGGATTGATTTTAATCCAATAATTAAACAATTTTTAATACATGTTGTACAAGTAATTTAGCTATGATTTTTACTGCTATCTATACTAAAATAAAATGCTAAAATATCATTTTTCTAACTTTTATAAAAAATCTTTTTTTCTTTTTTCATACAACTGATATAATAAGTAAAGGTGATGAGCTTATTTTACTTAGGCTATTAAAATGATATTCAAAAATGAAACCTTTATCAATAAAATAGTTTTAAACATATGGTTCAATCAATAGAAAAAACAAACATTAAAAAATCATAGTTCATTTTGTTTATATGTTTACGTTAAATGTTGTTGCTTTGTTTCTGTTTTATTTATTTTAATATTTGTTTAATTTTTTAAAAAGGTTTCCAACAATGATAAAAATTGGAAAATTTGGTTTGATAACTTAGCACCAGAAGATTCTGTTATACCAGACGGATACAATGAAGCTTTAGATGATTTTCGTAGACTTTTGTTAATCAGAGCTTGGTGTCCTGATCGCACAATTAACCAGGCTAGAAAGTATGTTGCATCTTCCATTGGTGTAAAGGTATTATTAATACGCCTTATTGATATTGACAAAATACTGAAATGCATATTTGTGTTAGTGTGTGTGTATATATATATATATACACACACACACACACACACACACACACACACACACACACACACACACACACACACACACACACACACACACATATCTTGAATGCAGAAATATGATTTTTATAACACAAATTTTTTAATGTTTTTTTACAACTACAATAATAGTCAATAACAAATACTTTTCAAGATTCATTTGTTTTTAGTATGTTGAAGGTATTCTTATGAATCTGGATGGAACTTTGGAAGAGAGTAATCCATTAACTCCTATGATCTGTTTGCTATCTATGGGTTCAGATCCCACTGCAGCAATTGAGTCTCTTTCTAAACGCAAACATCTAAGTAAAAATATTGATTTTGTTTTTTTAGAGTGGCAAATTTCTATCACTTTGAATAAAAAAAATCTTGATAAAAATATATGGATTTTATAGGTTGTCGTAGTATTTCTATGGGGCAAGGGCAAGAAGTACATGCAAGGCGATTACTTCAACAATGTACAACTGAAGGTGGATGGGTTTTACTACAGAATTGCCACTTAGGACTTAACTTCATGGACGAGTTGTACGATATGGTATATGGAATTTTTATTAACTAAACAGTTTTATACAGTATTTATTGCATCATTTTATTCTTTGCTATACTAATTTTATTAGTTAACCACGCTGGAATCTGCGCATGAAAACTTTAGACTTTGGATGACAACAGAAGTTCATCCTAAATTTCCAATCAATTTGTTGCAAATCTCAATTAAATTTACTAATGAACCACCCTCTGGTATTAAAGATGGATTAAAAAGAACTTATGTTGGAATGACACAGGTTTCTCTTGTTTTTAGTTTTTATTTTTTCTATTTGTTCATTTTCAATATATATTTTCATTATCATTTATTTACTTTTTATATTGCTTACAATTTTGTGTATGGTATTTTATATGTGTGTAGATTGTTTTCTTGTGTGTATGTATTGTTTTTTTATGATTATATCTTTTTTTAAATAGGATCAGTTAGATATTGTAAGTCTTTATCAGTGGAAACCATTGTTGTATGCTACAGCTTTTCTTCATAGTGTTGTCCAAGAGAGACGAAAGTTTGGACCATTAGGCTGGAACATTCCTTATGAGTTTAATATGTCTGATTTGTCTTCCAGTCTTCAGTTTGTTCAGAATCATCTTGATGAATTAGATTTTGCAAAAGTAAGTTTTTTTAAGTTTCTTTTTAACTTATTTTGGTAAATCTTGGGTTAGACTTTTACTTTTAACTATTTTTCATAAGGGTGTGTCGTGGCCAACATTGTGTTACATGCTTGGCGAGGTCAATTATGGTGGACGTGTTACTGACGAGTATGACAAACGCCTTCTCAACACTTTTTGCCTTGAATGGTTTAATGAAAATTTGTTTAATGAGAAGTTTGAGTTTCACCATGGGTACGGATTACCTAAATGTGAACAGTTAACCGACATTCTTATTTACATTCAAAATTTACCTGCTGTGGACACTCCTGAGGTTGATTTTTTTTTCCTCTTAATAAAGTTAATGTTAAACCAGAGACAGTGTTAAAAATAGTATATTTTAGTTCTTTTTTTAATTTTAACTATTGGCATTTTTACCAATAAAAATGTCATAGGTAATTCTGGTTTTGATACGTTTGAAAATGCAGAGATAATTTAAAGTTTAAAGTTTTTTTCTTTTTGTTTAGGTTTTTGGCTTACATCCCAATGCAGATATAACTTATCAAACTAAAGCGGCTGTTGATGTTTTAAATACAATTCTAAATGTTCAGCCTAAAGATAAAATAAGTTCATTGGGAGAGACAAAAGAATCATCGGTCTACCGCATTGCAGAGGATATGTTAAAAAAATTACCATCAGACTACATACCACATGAAGTATACATACATATCTATAATATATCTATATATATATATATATATATATATATATATGTATATATATATATATATATATATATATATATATATATATATATATATATATATATATATATATATATATATATATATATATATATATATATATATATATATATATATATATGTATATATATATATATGTATATATATATATATATATATATATAAATAAATATATATATATATATATATATATATATATATATATATATATATATATATATATATATATATATATATATATATATATATATATGTATATATATATGTATATATATATGTATATATATATGTATACATATATATATACATATATATATATATATATATATATATATATATATATATATATATATATATATATATATATATATGTATATATATATATATATATATATATATATATATATATATATATATATATATATATATATATATATATATATATATATATATATATATATATATAAAAGTTATGTTAGTGTATTCTACAAATTAAGTGCTGAATGTTCTTAAAGAACAGACCTTAATAAATTTGTAAAAACGCTTATCTAATCTCTCTATCTATCTATATATATATATATATATATATATATATATATATATATATATATATATATATATATATATATATATATATATATATATATATATATATATATATATATATATAATATATATATATATATATATATATATATATATATATATATATATATATATATATATATATATATATATATATATATATATATATATATATATATATATATATATATATATATGGTAATAGGCATGTTACATATGCATACTTGCTGTATCTATAAGCTTATTATGTATTTTTATTTCTATGGTAATAAAATTATTATTACCGTAGGTAAGAACACGCTTACAAAAAATGGGGCAGTTTCTTCCTATGCTTATATTTCTTCGTCAAGAACTTACCTGTATGCAACGTATCATAACAGTTGTTCGACACACATTGAATGACCTGCTTTTGGCCATTGATGGAACAATCATTATGTCAAATGATTTGAGAGATGCTTTGGATAAAATTTATAATGCTCGTATTCCATTTTCTTGGCAAAAAGTATTTTATTAGTTTATATAAACAGTATAACAGTATAATATTACAATATTGTGTTTTTTATATTTAAATATTTTATATATAAACTTTCTATTTTATTACCAGTTATTATAATTTATCAATTATTTTTTCAGATATCTTGGCCGTCCTCTACATTAGGGTTTTGGTTTACCGAGTTAATTGAAAGAAACCAGCAATTCTCAACATGGTTATTTCAGGGACGCCCTAACCTTTTTTGGATGACTGGCTTTTTCAATCCTCAGGTGCATTTTTTTAAATATTATTCATAAGTTGAAAATGAATCGGAAAACCTTTTTTTTTAAGTTCACGATGTTCAATTAATAAATATGATTTAAGCTGTGTTACATAACAAACATAATAGACTATAATAAGATCTAAAAATTTTAGGGTTTTATCACAGCAATGCGACAGGAAATAACGCGTGCCCACAAAGGTTGGTCACTTGATACAGTTGTCCTCGCCAATGAGGTTACCAGACTGTTTAAGGAAGATATGACATCGCCACCAACTGAAGGTGTTTATATATATGGCTTGTACTTGGACGGGTGTAGTTGGGACCGAAGAAATTTTCGTTTAATCGAATCGCAATCAAAAATGTTGTTTACGCCACTGCCTGTTGTACATCTATTTGCTTCAAATGCTGCTATTGTTAAAGACGTCCGCTTCTATTTGTGTCCAGTTTACAAGACCCCGCAGCGAACCGATTTAACGTACATTTTTTCTCTGAATCTCAAGACAAATATTAATCCAAATCATTGGATTTTAAGGGGTGTTGCTCTTCTGTGTGATGTCAAAGGATAGTATTTTACATAGCTATTTATAACTTTTTTTTGATTATTAGTTTGTAAGTAGCTAGTTTTATTTAGCATATAAATCATAAATCTAATTTTTTATTATAAATTTAGCATAAATTATATTTTTTTATTTAGTAAGTGTATAATAAATTATATTTTTCATTTGTATTTATATTGTAATATGTTTTGTACTAATACCATGTAAATATTTTTAACTAAACGTGTAAACTTGTAAAATTCTTTTAGATTTTAATCACACGCGCACGCACACACGCACACAGAGACACACATACATAGTTATGTATGTAAATATTTTTTCAAATTGAAGTTCAATCTAAAAGTTAAAAAAGTCAAAAGCAATTACAACATGAATACACACACACTTATATGAATACACGCATAGTTTTGCATGAAAATAATTTTTCCAGTTAAAGTATAAAATTTAAAATTAAAAAAAAATCAAAAAAGATTAAGAAAGTTTAAAAAACTAATAAAAAGATTTTTTTTTAATTAACAGCTAGGCCATATCAAATCCATCAACGAGTGTTCGCTTACTCCGCCTATTTTTAATGTCGGTCGTACTTTTTACTGAACTTAATCATTTTTATGATTATTTGAAAAAAAAAAAATTATACGTGTTTCCGCATTTAATTTGATGATTGTAAAATAGTAATAATGTTTCTATCGAGCGACCCAACATGTTTTTTTATATTTGGGACAACTTTAAAAAACGAAGCTGTATATTGGCGAGGCATTGGTATGTTATAAGGGGTCGTGTTCGTGTCTCTCCGCTAAACTTAACTGAAGTCAGTCGAAGTTTTGTTAAAGATTTTTTTAAATAAAAAAATGTCAGAATTTTTGAGACAAAATAAATCAATAGGAAACAAAAATTTAATTTACGTAATATTTTTTAGATAAAAATATTTTTTTGACTTATTCTTCATTGAGCTTAACGGGAAGAACTGAACTCAAACTTTGTGTAACTTTTCATAAGGTTCATACTTTATTGCGAAAAAAGCAGTGGTCTTGTTTTTTAAAGTTCGTGATTCGGAAATATAGAGTTAAGTGAGGGTTGTAAACACAATTAAAGCAGCCTCATCGATTGTAGTGCTCTTCATGGCCTTGGAGAGGTGAATTAAAATTAAAAAAAAAAAAAGTTAAGCAATACTGGCTGCTCAGTAAATATTGTCTAACACTCTAAAACATAATCGATCATGCGTTTCAAAGTGAAGCTGATTTTCGGAAGAGTATAATTTCTAGTTTACTTATTACAGTTCAAACTTTTTTGTTGTTGTTTTTATTTATTTTTTTAATAAGTTTTACTGTTAGAAAACTTAATTAGTTGAGATAGTATAGATGTATGAAATATGGAAATAAGGTACAGTTTTTTACTATGTCAAAAAAAATTTGATGTCACTATCATGACGTCAAGTTGGTTTTCAAACGCTTATATTTGTTTTCTGTAAACATTTTTTTATATTTTTACTAGTCGGATAGCCCGCGCAATCGCGGAAAGAATTGGTTGATGCTTTTCATTAGTTTTAATATTAGTTTTTATTGTTTCTAGGACATAAGTCGACATAAATAGCCTGCTACATAACTAACTCATAGCCTGTTCATAGTAATTACAAAGCCTGCGGGTTAACCACGTGCTAAATCGCAAGTTTTGCCTGCTGCACAACTGCTTAAGTGCCCGCCGGCTCCTGCCCCTTAGCCCGCTATGCAACCTGCTGCCAAACCTTTACAATGCCCGCTTAATACCCGGCCACTACGTATAAAATATAATTTAGTATAAAATAAAATATAACACAAAATATAATGTAAAATAAAATGCAAAATATAATATAAAATACAATATAAAATATAATGTAAAATACAATATAAAATATAATGTAAAGAACAATGTAAAATAAAATGTAAAATCAGTAGTTATACACGCAATACACGGGTTTATAGTTTCAGTTCCGTAAATTATTACAAAATCGTTAATAAGATAAATATTTCGAACATAATTTTAGTGATAATTTTGGCTAGGAAAAATATTTAGCATTAAAAAAATTTTATACCAAAGATTTTATTATTTTTTTTTTTTTTTTTTATTCGTTAGTTAAGTCGTAATACATAAACGTAAGTCGTAATACATTTAAGTCGTACTAACAATGTAAAACTAGGTTTCCGAAAGAAGATCATAAGGATCTTATCATCGGAACCTTAAAAAGTAAAAATATTTATTTGTAACATATATATGTATATTGAAAATTTAACGTATTTACATTATGCAAAGATACAACACATTTTAATATATAATAAGTTGAAGATTTAAAAAATACATTTCACATACATTTTTAATAGAATTTTAGAATGTTGTCCATAGAGAGAATGAATTTTTTTAACTTAATTTTAAAAACAGGAAAAGTAATAGAAAGATCAAAATTTGGTAATACTATTTTATTCTAAAGATGGGGTAAACGATATGCAATACAAAATTGATTGAACTTAGTTCTACAAAAAGGTTCATTTAAAAAACTATTATTTCTTAATGTGTATTTAATTATTGGTTTTAAAGAAAAAAGGTCGTTAAAAACAAATAAAGTTAAATCGTTTTTCCATATAAAAGTAAAACATAAGACATTAAATATGTTCAGTTTATAAACATCTAGAACCTTCATATAATCAAAAAAATATTTTTAATGTGAAAAGCGATCCGCATAATTAACTACGCGGATTGCAAGTTTCTGACGGCGATAAAGATGTTGTAATTTACTTTTATCCGTACTTCCCCAAGCGATGATTGCATAATTTATATAATTATGTATAAATGAATAATAGAGTTGGGTTAAGTTTTTTTTGTTTAGATAATTTTGGGCTTTGTATAAAATGCCAATATTTTTGGAAATTTTTGTGCTTATATGATCAATATTTTTTTTCCAAGTAATATTCTCATCAAGGTAAACACCTAAGAATTTTATAACAGTATCTCTTTTTATTATCGTTTCATCAATATAAATTTGAGGCATATTACTTGGTAAAAAACGTTTTTTTGCGCTGGAGTGAAAGATAATCCACTTTGTTTTATTAATATTTAAAGTTAATTTATTAGCTTTGAACGAATTAGAAATGTGATTTAGTTCTTTGTTTGTAGTTGAAAAGAGTTCATAAATATCAGTACGGGGTAAGAAAAGATTAGTATCATCAGGGAACATTATACTTTTCAATCTGGAAACTTTGTTTAAGTCGTTTACATAGACTAAAAATAGTAGTGGCCTGAGAATAGAACCTTGTGGAACACCACAGGTTATGCTCAGGGGTTCACTTTGCTTACCATCATTACTATAAACAAGTTGTTTTCGATTTGTTACATAGCTTTCAAACCATTTTAAGATTCTATTGTTTAAACCATAATGTTTAATTTTTTGGATTAAAATGTGATGATCGACCGTATCAAAAGCTTTTGATAGGTCAATAAAAACACCTAGTGTATATTGGGATTTTTCAAAAGATTCAGAGATGTTATGTATAAATTGAATAATGGCATGTTCAGTTGAACTCCCTTTTCTGAAACCATACTAATTGTTATGAAGTAAGTTGTTGTAATTAAAATAATTGTATACCCTATTGAAGATAATTCTTTCTAAAATTTTAGAAAATATAGAAAGAACAGAGATGGGACGATAATTACTGATATTGGATCTGTCGCCTTCTTTATGGATAGGGGTAACCCTGGCAAGTTTTAAACGTTCAGGAAAAATACCTTGATGGATAGATGCTCTGAAAACTTTAAAAAGAGTATTTTTTAATTGTTTGTAGCAATCTATAACAATATTTCCGTTTATTTCATTTGCACCAGGTGCCTTAATTTTTATAAAAAAGATTTGAAACCTTTTTTAAACTCATCAAATGGTAGTTCGGCAGATAATTCTTCAGAGCAAATATCTTTAACAATAGGTATCAAAAAATTATAAAATGAGCTTTGGGTTTTTGGTATTTTACTTGACAGAAGTGATCCAGTTTCAGTGAAATATTTATTGAATTCATGAGCTATTATTTGTGGTTCATACAAGCTAATGTTATCGACTTTAAGCATTTGTGGCAAAGAGCTTGAGCATGTTTTTTGTTTTCCAGTAATTTCTTTCAGTTCAAATAATTTTCCAGTAATTTCTTTCAATTCAAAAGCCAAGTGCTTTTTGAGTCATTTTTAACTTTATTAATTAATTTTGAATAGTAGGTTTTTTTTTTTAATTTTTTCGGATTTTTTCGAAAAGATTTTTGAAATCTTTGTAAATTTTTTCGCAAGCCTGATGCTTTTGTTTTCAGATATTTTATGTATAGTTTTTGTTTAGTTTTGGATGATTTTTTGAATCCTTTGGTAATCCAGGGATTATAAAAGTGTTTTGATTTTAATGTAATTGTAACAATCGGTAAATTAGATTCGATAACATAGGTGAATGTTTCAAAGAACTTTTCATAAAGGTTGTTTGCGTTTTCATTATAATTTAAGTGTTTCCAATGTAATAATGAGAGCTGGTTTTTGAAAGACTCAATATTTGATGGTTTAAAAAAACGTTTTTTTTAACTTTATTTAATTTTTGTTTAGGCAGTTGGTCAGTGTTTATGGTTAGAAAAATAGGAAAGTGGTCAGAAATATCTTTTTTTAAGATGCCTAATTTTATATCACTGTTGAACAAGTCTGTAGAAATAATATTATCCAGCAAAGTTGCTGAATTTTTTGTTATTCTTGTTGGACGATTAAAGGAATTGCTCCAGATTCAAAAATTGCATCATAAAAATTTATAATTTTGTTATCGTCATTGTAGTCAAAACAATTCATATTAAAGTCGCCAACTAGAAAGTTTTTTTTTTTTCGTTGTTACCTTTCGCAATAACTTTTTGCCGTAAAAACACGCTCAAGTTGTCGCTCACGCCATCTGGCGGTCAATAACAACAGCTAATTAAAATGTTTATTGTTCGTTCATTAATAATCTCAATTGTTAATATTTCTCCATCGCCCTCAGAAACACAAAGATCATTTCTATCAAATACAGAAACACAAAGATCATTTCTATCATTTATATCAAATTAATATCAATAGGTCATATGCTGCTTCTCAAATTTTTTCTTAAATCTTTTCAAATTCTAAAAGTTTAGTTTTCTAATCAATTTTGAGATAATTTGCGGAATGGAATTGAGACTATAAATCCGCATATTTTATTTGACGTTTTTCAACGTCAAAATGAATTGGTTAAGTAAAAGAACAATTGCGCATTTTTTTAATTATTTAAAACGTTTTTATTTATTCAGTCCTTATTAAATTTTTTTTTTTTTTGCCAAAATTACTTACCTATTAAATTAGAAAAAAGATTATTTTTTACTTTTTTGCTATACATTTTAGTTTTCGAGTTTAGCGCGAAAAACGAAAGTGACTTAGTACTAACATTTAAACTCAAATAGTCGTTCATAATAAAAAGTGTTATTAATTTCATAATTACATATAAATTTGTTTATTGCAAATAAATGTCATTTCCACCGTATTTCTTCATGTTTTCATAATATTGAACGGATTTTAAGTCATTTTTTTATCAACCACTTTAACTATCGATGAAAGTCTTAAATACATTTTCACTTGTTTGAGTAATTTCATTTATTTTTTCGCTAAGGTTTTTCTGCTCAAGAACCATATGCGCATCATATTCACCAAGAGTATTGTTTATTTGAATCTTGCTTGCATTATCTAAAAATAAATGTTCTTTATTAGAGTAACAACATTGCTACCAATGTTGCGACAAAATAATAGTCCAAATAACATTGCTGGTTTTCAACTCTTCGACAAGTAACATTGCAGGTTTCAACTCTCTAACAAATAACATTGCAGGTTTCAACTCTTCAACAAATAACATTGCAGGTTTTAACTCCCAAACAAATTACTAACAATTTTTACAACGCGGTATTTGTTAAAATATTAAAAAAAAAAAAATTATGAAATTCGCAATCAAAGCTTTTTAAAAAGTTACCCCCTATAGGCTCCTTTGCATTTTCTTTGCGAATCCAAAAGTTAATATTGTTTTCTTCATTACCTAATGACGTCATAAAATATGGAAGCTTAAACCCTAAAAACAATAATTTTATTAACTCGTTAAAGTAAATGATTGACGCATTACAAAGATTTCTAAAGACTCAATACAATACAATACAATACAAAAAGACTCAATACAATACAAAGATTTCTAAAGACTCAAAAAAAAACCCCAATATTAACTAAAAATCTTAAGCTATCAAAAACTTAAAATTTTAGTTTTTGACATACTTTGATCTTCTCTGGTTAACATTACTCTTCTTGATGGCGGTAAAACTTTATTATGTTTGTCATTAATTTTTTCATTATTTTCTAAAATATAAAGAAACGAAATAAGTTTTAATTGTGTTACGCGGGTATGCATTTTACATCACTTACTGTGTTTTTTTTATACATTACAAATGAAGTTTGATATTTCATTAAATTAGGTAACTATATAATGGGTACCAAATGGTTATCAAACTTAGACTTGAGATATTGTGTAATTAAAAAAAAGTTTACCAGAATTGGCTTTAGAAGTAATAACACCCCAATAGAGAGCTGTATTAAATATTTGTACAGGTGACAACTTCATTAAATTTTCAGCCATATGCATCTCATTTTGAAAACTTGATGGAAAAATCTTTTTAGCGACTTCTTGTACGACACTTCTAAATAGAAAAAAAACTAAATAACTTTAAGAAAAATTATGTTGTAATATTTTATTTATTTATATTAATATTTATTTGTATTAATAATATTTTAAATTAAAAGCTATTAAATTGTTTTAATATTTGTTTGCCACAAAAACAAAATGCTCAAAATAATAAATTACTTGCGTATCTCTTCCTTTCTCCGCCGCAGTTGAGGTGATATTTGTTTTTGAATTTTTTTAAAGAGAATTTTTTTATTACTATTGTTAAAAACTTTGTCATCCGCAATGTCAAACACCTTTTTCATAGATTCAATGTCTCGACTATCTTTTAATACAAAAAACTCTTGCAAAATAATCGGAGGTTCTAAAAAAAGAATATATTATATATATATACACACATGAAGTAGTTTTACGTAGTTGGAAAGTCATTTGTAAAAAAATTGTATTTTATATATATATATATATATATATATATATATATATATATATATATATATATATATATATATATATATATATATATATATATTAGAATAAACATTTATCTAATTTTAATCTTCGACAGTTTGTTTCTCTCTCAGTAGGTTCATCAAAAAGAAATCTTCCTGATGAACCTACTGATGGAGAAACAAGCTGTCGAAGATAAAAATTAGATAAGTGTTTTTATTAATTTATTATTGCTCTGTTCTTTAAAAACATTGAGCATTCTATTGTATGTGTATTGGTCAAATTCAATAAATAGATCCCAATGAAGTTCAAGTTTCATTTGATATAGTTAATTTATATTCGTCCATACCCATTAACAAAGCTATTCCAGTTGTTATTGATGTATTAAATTATGATACCGATATAAAATCCTGATAATATCTAATTCAGGTCCTATAGGTTTAATGCCGTGGTTGTTATGGAGGAAACATTTCAACAGAACATTGAAAGAAAAGCTCTTATGTATCTACTTATACATACGCGTGAACCAAAAACTTTCTTGAGTTACAATTAACGAAGTTAATTAACATATTACAATTAATATGCAGAGAATTGTCACGCTCGCTTTAACTCAATAAAACCACAAGAAATGTTTCTAAATATCCTAAACGAAAAAAATCCTGCCATAAAATACACTGTTGAACTCAAAAAACACCAAAAGCAACCATATTTTCAACAACTAATTAACATTACAAACACAATGCATGGAGCTTATGAGTTCCAAAGACATCGAATAACTAATATTCAACTTAAACCTAACTCAAACATTAATCCTTATATTATGGCTAGCGTTTTCAAAGGGTTTTTATGTCGTGCAAAAAGAATATGCTCTCAAAAGTACCTCCAACAAGAAATTGATTTTTTAATAAAAATATTTGTTGAAAACGGGCACGACAAGAACAATCTAACTAATATTGCCAGAGGCTATATAAAAAGAAAGTTTAAAAAATACCATTTATTAACCAACTGACAACCAACCATTTATTAAGCCGCCATGGATACCAATTGTTAGTCCCAAAATTAGAAAAGAATTTAGAAAATAAAACATAAAAGTTATGTTCACATCAGCTCCAAATTTCAACAATAAATTATAAAGCATCATCAAATTTCAACAATAAACAATAAAGCATCAGAAAAATATAAAAGGAAAATGGGCCAGTTTGGGTTCTACTAAATATTCCAAATCATCCCAAGTAACGTTTGACTGGTTACACCCCAAAAACATACCGATTACTCCAGAAAATTCAAAAAATTCGAGAATTACTTGAATTAAACAGAGCTAAAGTTTGACAAGAGTTGGGAAGGTGATAACGTGACAAGAAAAACTTCGGGATCATTTTTTATTAGATTATTTGACGTCAACATTTAAAAACCTATTTTTGTATTTCTTATGCTCTTTTTAATGTTATCTTTTTAACGGTTTGTTTTTATTATAACGATTTTCTTTGTAACTATTTTTATTTATTATACCTGATGACACTGATCACAATAGATCAACGAAATATCGAATAATATATATATATATATATATATCTATTATTTATTTATAAATTTAAAGTTACCCGTTAAAAACGGTTGTCTTTGATCCAAAATTGTTTCGTATTCATGTAACATTTTGGTGGTTTCAATCATGCTGGCGGGTAATTTTTTACTTTCTTCTGTAGTTTGAAAAACCGACTCATATTGACTGTCTATGCCACCATTTTTTTCTGCCCTTTTGCTTTCAATATGGATTGTGCTTTTATTCTTATCATAGTTGAAAGTTAAAAAAATAATTTTAAGAATTAGGAAAAAAATCACAAGAACCTGTAAAACTACAATTACTACTGCAAATTTTTTACTTAAATAAATATTTTTCGTTTCTTTAATACTCTCACCAAGAATTAAAAAAGCATGATTGGATAACAAAGTTTACCTTATAATTGATTGGCATGCACGAAGCAAAACAAATAAAAAAGCTCCAAAAAATAAATATAGCTTTTAAGAACATCATCTTCAAAATAATGAAGATAAGTAATGTAATTTCCAATTTGACGTCATATAAAAACAATCTATCGCGTATTCTCAATATAAAGTATAGGTATTTAAAAAAGAGTTACATGTACAATTGCTTAAAAAAAACAATTAAAATTAAAAAAAAATTTTTAAAGAAATATTTTCAAAATGCATTTCTGCAATAATTTTAGGGAATATAATTAAACTTGTATTCTTCGTTAAAAAAAACGTTTACAGTTACAAAATTCCATTTTCAGTGAGTGTAGGTATTCTTATAGTACAGTGTAGTAGGTTCTTTTGATAGATTGATTATATATATATATAGAACGAGTGTATTTGAAAATAACGTCGCCGCATATTTTGCCGTGTGTGAGCAAACTGGCCCTTTTTTTTTTTATCCACATATATTCAAACTTTAACTAAAGATAAAAAAAACTAGAAAAACAAACAAACAAAAGATATTTAAAGAAATTGAGTTGAACCAAGCAACCAAGGAATCAAGCAAGACAAACTGTCTGAAACCGAAGTTACGCAGAGACAAAGAGTTAAAATACTTAAAACATTAGGCGATTCAGAAATTACTGAAAAGCTTACATTGGGTGGTGCATTGGGTGGTGCATTGGGTGGTGCAATGATCCTGTTAAATCAGAGCAAAAACAAAGGAAATCTTATTTTGAAACAATTGATGCTATTCAGAACAATTTGAGTGAGTGAAAAAATAGTAAAAAATATAGAAGAAGTTTTGATTTTATTGGTGAATAAACAAGATTCTTCACCGTTTTTATTTTTAATGCCATTTTAAAATGATGCTGACATCTTGGAACTAAAAGTTGAGTTGAAGGGGCTACCAACAATTATTATTCTGTGCAATATTGTTGCATCAATCAAAAGGCAGAGTGTTTCCAGAGTGGCAATAATTGCAGATATTTTTAATGCCATGTCAGCTGCAAAAGTCGCCAATAAAAAAACACACAAATTAATGAAGCTTTACTACACCTCGCCTCTATCGACATCATCATGCGAAAGAAGTTTTAGTATAATGAGGAGAATAAAAACATGGGTTAGGTCACAAAATGGAGGCAATCACCTGAACATCATCATGTTGGCTCAGATACACAAAAAAAATAATTGACAATAATTAACATTAAAAAAATTGCTAAACAGTTGCCAAACAGAATGATTTATTTGAAACAGAATAATTTATTTTGCAAATACACTTGAAATCGTTCAAGCACTTTGTAAAGAATGGCATACGATAATACTAAGAATGGCATACGATGAAATATATTATTGATAAGTAGAAAGTAACTAAAAAACAGTTGATTTATTTAATAGACTGTTTAATAGTATGTTATAATCTTTAGTATTAATTGCACTGTACACGCGATTAGTAATAGCGAAAGAAGTAGGCAAAGTGAGATTTTTTGTGTATTTCTTGGAAAACGGTAGGGTTAATTAAAAAATTTATTTATATTATATATATTAGATATTATATATAATAAAATATCGTGTTGATATTTTGGAAAGTGCATTGTGTTTTGGTTTGCCAACCCTGGCCTTAGGCCCTTCCAGCGTGCCTGGTCTATTTCCAGATAGAAACTGTATATTTTAGCAAGACAATGACCCAAAGCATACAGCAAGAACAATTAAAAGATTTGTACATAATGAATATCTACCTTTGTGGCCAGCGCAATTACCTAATCTTACCCTTCGAACAACCTTGCTCTTTGGGGAAAAATAGAAACAAAACAGTGAAACGTTTTTGAACTCTATTGAGTTAATAAGTCATTATTATCTTTTAGTGGCTGAATATATTGCATTTGTTAAAACAAAGAAAAAAAAAACGTAAAAAAAAAAACAAAAACTTTTCTCCTCAAACTCAAAAATGAGCTGATTAAGTTACTCGTGCAGAAAGTCAGAAATAAAATTCTATGTTCTATTTGAATGCACTACAGATGTCTCTCACAAGAAGCAGATGACCCAAAAAAATATATATATGACCACATCAATGATGAAACCTGTACAGTTGAGGAAAGCTTTGTGGATTTCATTGAATCTCACTGAAAAAGCGGAGAAGGTCTTACAACAGAGATAATTGAAAATTAGAGAAGAATGGTCTAAAGATTTCTGATTGCCGTGGCCAAAGTTATAACAATGGAGTCAATATTTCTGGAAAATTAAATGGTTTTCCAAGCTTACTCCCAATCTTTTTGTGAGTCAGCAATATTTGTTCCATATGCAGCTCACACTTTGAATCTTGTTGGTGTCCATGCTACTGAAGTCCCCACTCATGAATTTAATTTTTGGAAAAGTCCATCTTTAACTTTTTTTTAAAAGTTATACATCAAGTTAGAAAAAACTGATGAAAATATTAACCATCTCATTAAAGGGAAACAGTGACACAAGGTGGTCTGCCAAACAAGGAAGCAATTAAATCATTACACAGACAAATCAAAGAAATTTTTCAAGTTATGGAATCCTTTATTCACAATCTTGTTTGTCAGTTTTGTATTTTTAAGTGTAAAATTGTTCGTCCATTTTGATCAGTTTTGTTTTTTTTTGGTCCATTTGGTCAATTTTTCATTTATATAAATGTTGCAATCAAATTGTGTTACGTAATGTTCAGAATTATTTGTGTAATTACTTGATATGGATAAGTATACTTTACAGTACTGTGTAGCAATATGTTATTATGAAACCTAACTTACAGAGAGCGGCTCTAGGTACAATATCTGCTGGCCCTAGGTCAATAAAAAATATCTTATTGTACCTAAAGTCACTAGTTTTTAAACCCTTCTAAAAGCCGTAACCACATTTTTCATATTAGGAGGGCCCATATTACATATTAAAGACCTTTTTTTTTTCTTTTTTTTTTTTAGGTACCCATTCTAGGGGCCCAGAGATAGGGAGAAGTCCAAATATCCAGGGCAAAGTCCTAAAAAATATATATATTTTCCTTATAATTATAGTTTAATAATTTTTTGGGGGGCCTAGGCCCTTCTGGCCCCCTTCCCCCCTCCCCCGGTGGTTACGGCTCTGCTTCAACATAACAAACTTTATAATTTAAGTCATTATACCTATCAATACAAAGTAATTTGTATAGAAATGTGATAATATCAATTTCATGATTTTTAGACAAATCTTGCTTGAAAATGGTGAAAATAATATTATCACATCTCGGCCATAAATGCAGGCAATTAAAAATTCGGCCTAGGTACACGAAATTCCCCTAAATTGATATTTTGAGCGCAAGTTTAAAAAACAATTAACGAGAGAATTGATAAAGATGAAAAAAACTTTATAGAAAACCTCCACAAAACAAAGGTATAAGTAAAAGATATTAAAGATATAAATTAAGCCAAAATTTGAAGGAAATTTTTGGCAACAAAAATCACAACAACCTAGTAAAAAAATGAGCGCGTAAAAAAGCAAAGGATTATAGCTCAAATTATTTAAAAAAAAAAAAACAATCAAGAGGGGGAATCAGAAAGTGCTTAAGAAACTTGAAATGAAACAGAGAAAAAAGTAAAATTATTTTTTTGCAACAAATTATGACTTACTGTAATAGAACATAAGCAAGCAAAAAAAAAAAAAAACCGAAAAAGAAAGAAACAAAGCATCACAACCTATGTTTTATTTTGATTAAGATATTGAGCAGCCGTGGCGCAGTGGTTAGAGTTCTGGCTCAGAACCCAGAGGTGCGAGGTTCGACGCCAGCTCTAGCCCAACAAAAGACATTGGTAAGGAAGGAGGCGTGAACTTCCTGTTAAATGCTCTCCCGCGGTGCTCTGCGATAAGACCGTAAGGACTTCTGGGAGCACCTAAAATAACTACAAAAAAAAAAGATATAAAGATAAAGCATAGATTCATGAATTCTACAAATTAAAAGGTACAAACACTTACGAAACAGAGAGAACTAGTTCAGGCGGCGTAGTAATTAGAGCACATGCTTCAGAAATGTTCGAGGTGCAATGATAGCTCCAGCCATAGTTGTCACGTGATAAGGAAGGAAGTGTGAACTTCCTAGTTTATCTAGGTTCTAATATTTTTGTAGAGCTCAGTTATTATTGAGGTTGTTCTGTCAACATTTCAACATAACAACCTCAATAATAAATATAAACCGTCTGTTAAAATTATGAACCGAGAAAAGAAAAATATATTTATAACTGTTTTATACTAACCACCTAATCGTAATTTTGATTTGTTTGAAAAATATCTAAAGCAAATATTACATAAATTATTACATGTTGACCATCTAGTCTTTGATAGGCGTTCAAATATTGATCAAAGATATAAAAACCATTAGAGTACAACACAAGAAAAAGTTAAAAATCATTTTTTAAATGAGATACAAGCAACGTGACCGCGCAAATTGCTTCGTGAACTTGTAGTCAACATTTAAACTTTTAAATAAAGTTTATATACAATTTAATCGTTCATCAAACTTCAAAGCCAGCGCGTAGGATGGGAGGGGGGGGGTAGGGTTAGATAGGCAAAATGTGACTTAGAATATTTATCTCTAATCAGCAAATTGGAGAATTTGAGGACTTTTTTTTTTGAAGGTTTTTGATATGTATATAGGACTTGCGCCAAGTATATCAGCCTCTGCGTACTTTTAACCACATCTCACTGCGCGGTAAGAAGGTGAATAGATCTTGTTAAGGTACCAGCTAAAATATATCAATAAATGTGAAATCTAGAGACTGAACTAAAATCAAGACATAAGGTGCTATATTCACATGCTATATTCACAGTGCTATTACTTGTTCATAATTTATTCAAGTAAACTCCCCCAAAAAAGGTAAAAGTCATTGGAAATAACAAAAATTGATCTTCCTACTTGGGCAATGAATTTCATTATAGTTCAGGAACTAGATAATATAAACGAAAATACTTGTGCAAAATTTCAAGAGAAAAAGATATTTTATTTTACTTGTTTTATCCATGTGAACAGTTTAAGGCTTTTTTTGAATAAAATTTGAATATTTCTATAAAAAAATT